GGGGGAGGGGTGGGGGAGGGGTGGCGAGCTTATTGTCTATGTAGGGGAGGCGGAGGCGGGGAGCAGCCTGTATATTAGTCTCCCTTGTACACGCACACAAATACAAACGCATATGCATTGCGCATTCATTTAAGTGTACAGGCCTATATCCCGACGTTCTCGGTACTAGATTCGATGGTGTTAGGGAATTTTCCTTAGCACTACTAAGTCATAAAATGTTGAAAATACCCCAAGGAATCTGCGCGGAATTCATACAGAGTTCTTTCCATCAATTTTTATCCATGCACTACCTTTTTATTCAGTATGAATCTAGGAAATTGTACAATTAAGACTCTAGCCTTCTGTTGGTAGTTGGGCTGCCCGGCTTTCTTATATCTCTCATGGAGACGAGACTAGAGCGCGGGCCCTTGCAGATACTTGAGACTCTGATCACTAGTTCAGCAGTATGAAAACGTAATGAGAACACGAAACTTTCCCATGCCGAATCTATACACTCCACGAGAAACCGATATTTGAATCATAACTGAGAAGCACCAAATCGGGGGTCGTCGCATCCAATGGGGTCAAGATTGATGTAGATTTCGGCAGTCTAATAGCGGATGGATTGCTCAATTGGTCGGAACCGTCTAGTGTCAACTGCAGATCTAAGAGGAAATCACAGTATATGAGCTAGAGACTAGACTAAGGAAGGTGAGATAGTGACGTACCTGTTTCTTGTCAGCCCCGAGCTAAGCCACTCCTAACCCTACTTGCAATAAACTGGTCACAAAAAACGACGTCAGAACTTGACGATAATTTCTCAAATCCCTAAATCCACTTCTAGCCGCTACCCTCTGCCACTCTAAAATAGTATAGAGTTATTTAGAGCACGGTACATAAGCCGCTACTAAAGAGCCTGATGCACTATCCCAAAATTTCACTTTTAAGCATAAGAATGTAGTGATAGACTCTATGTAACCCTATTTTAAGCATCAGTATCATACATTATTACATACCGCGAATCACCAGGCCTTTGAAAAGATAATAGAGACCAATAGAGAGAACACAGTAGGCGATAAGTTACTAGGCAGCGGGATCCATCTTAGCCATACTAACGAAATCAAAGACGAGGCCAGTTATTCCGCATTGAAAGCTTCTAGATGCGAATGAGGCGATTTCAGCGATGTCGGGGAATTCCACATGGACGAGGAGATGCAAGTGTAAGAAGAAGAGGAAGAAGAAGAAGAAGAAGCTGGCTAGGCGGTCGACATGAATCAGGAGCCTCAGTCTACCGCACATGATAGTACATCCATCCCAGAAGCCGGCATTGATGCTAGCAAAGGATCAGCTAGAATGCTTGAAGCGAGAGCGCAGTCATAACGAGGACGCCAGTAGGTAATAGAAAGCAAATCAAAGCAAAGCGACGAGTCTTTCATTCCGAGCTTTGGAAAGATCTATGACTAGATTTCTAGTCGTTATTTAGCGTGAGAAATGGGGTTCTGATCGTTGCGCACGACCTTCATCATCGAGTCTTAGTCAGATACATGAGATATACTTTAGACGCCAAACTCGAGAAGCAAGGGGTGACGAGTCATCGGAACCCACCAGGTATAGGAGTTCCAACTTCAGAAATTCATACATCCTCAAGCCTGTTTTAGTGCTTATATCTGTATCATAAATGTCACCGCGCCCAGCCCCGATCCTCAACCTGACCTTTTTTTTCCCCTGCAATCGAAGATAGAATTTTGAATTTTGATTAGTCACATCAACGATGCGTCTATATCCAACTGTTTGGGACATACGACCACATTTACGGGAACGTCACCATGTACTGCGGTCACACTCTGACGTGGCATTGTCCTAGGATACCAATCCACAACCCATGGTGGAAGCGTCAGCCCCATGGTGATTGACTATGGAACATTCAGAAAATTACAGAGAGTGAGATCTTGCTAGCAAGGACTCTTCCATCGTGATCCTCGGTGGTACGCAGTGCCAAGCTTGGCGTTAGCGGCTTAGTCGCGGAGTGAGCACCGAAACAGACCATGGGACGGGAAGACTGCTTACTTGTATGGAAGCCGACGGATGCTTACAATCTTAGTCAATAAAATGGGACAAATTAGCGCTCGCGGAAGGTGCTGAGAGTGATTACGTTGATACATATGAGAAGGTTATGCTCCTCATTGCCTTCGACTCATACGGCCGCCGCTCTAGCCTCACATGCTACCATGAAGTCCTGGAACAACTATCCCGTCAACCAGCGGTGGCTTCGGATCACGCTGGTTTCTTTTCTTCTTGTCTCAATATTTATGTTCCTCGGCACCCAGAGTGAGATTGTACATCGGAGGTTCGGAAAGATGCCCTCACAAGATATCGTTGGAAACAAGGGCTCCAAGTCTGTTGAAGAAAAGTTGTTTTTCCTAGACATATCACTGATTCTGGATGGTTTGTCTGCTGAAGAGAAGCCGGTTGATCTAGCGCCGTCGTCTGCTGTGGAGAAATTGGCTGTTCCCGCACCATCACCTGCCGTCGAGGAGGAGCCGCCTGATGGGAAACTATGGGAATTACAACCCGTGGATGAAACGAATACACCAGAAACACCGCTGGAGGGGATGACTGTCGAGGAGACAACTGCACAAGAAACACCCGCCGAGTCCATGCCACCTATACCAACGCCACCGCCATACAAGTTAGCGACAGAGGAAGCAAGCCAGGATATGAAGTATGCATACTTGATCTTCATGTCGCAAACTCTGGATGTAAGCAAAGATCTAGAAAAGGATAATTATTTTGTCGCAGCGCGCATCCTGGTGTGGCAGCTGGTGCACAATCCGAGCACGCGAACAAAGCACGATGTGATTGTCATGGTTACACCTAATGTGTCGCAATCGAGACGGGACCGGCTCAAGAGAGATGGCGCAATTGTGCATGCGGTTGACTTTCTCCACACACCAAATGACGGATGGCTGAAGCCTGAGGTCCATCGTTGGGACGATGTCGTGACTAAAATGCGTGCGTGGGAACTGGTGTAATACGACAGAATCCTCATGTTGGACGCCGACTCGATGCTGTTGAAGACGCTGGATCCAGTGTTTGACGATCCGGCCGTTCATCTGCTTGCGACAGAGCCCTCAAACACTACTACAAACACGACGTTGCCCTCGACGTACCTTGTCGCATCCAACTCCGAAGTGTGGGATTCGACTCATTCGTTTCCTCCAACCCATGGCACGGGCTTGAAGAAGCCAGGACATATGAACGCGGGCTTCTTCATTCTCGCACCTTCACTTACTGCCTTTGAGTACTACAAGTCGCTGATGGATACACCTTATTCATTTAACCCAAAATATCCCGAGCAAAATCTCATCAACTATGCGCATCGATGGGACGGCCCCATGCCCTGGCGCGAACTGGCCTACACATGGAACATCCGCTGTCCAAATGACCAGGATATTGAAAAGGGTTTGTACAGTGTGCATGAAAAGTGGTGGGTGCATCCATACCTCTTCGGGAATGAGAAGACGAAGCAGTGGATGCTATCAAGAAGGTGGGAGATGAAAGGGTGGTATGACGCGTGGGACAAAATGCATGAGCAAGGGAAATAAGAGGGTATTGTTTTCGTAGCCACTGCAACCACATCCCTGTAGCAGTGTTTTGAATGCGTTCACAATTCTGGCGTATTGTGTGCAGTCGTGGGTAGCCTGTGTGCATTCGCGAAGAGGCTAGAAAAGAGGTTAATAATGATAGACAAGGCAAAGGCGTTTTTGGTATGCAATGTACGATTAGCACAGTCTGGTGTCATTTCTGATCAAGCACATCGCTACCACAAGCATAACCAACTCGTTTGTGTACAATGTGTTAATATTAGAGCATAGAGCTTCCGGCCCCTGGGGTTGTTTCTCACTTGATTCTTATACTGGTTTGCTTGCTGGCTTTATAACTTGCTCTGCAGAAATGTTTGTTCGGGCATCCGGCTCGCGAGCAGCCTATGCGTCTATAGGGCGCATATTGACCTGTAAGTGTTCGCTATAGTAATACGGCAAAAAGACATCTCGCCATAGGAGCGTTTCTGGACTATTCATGGTCAGCAAACGACCTGAAGACACCCGAGTAAAAACATAGTTACTGGGAGGAGGATGATGATGATGATGAGAGGCGTACAGTTGCTTTGGAACAGTCATGTCGAACTTGCGAAAGACGTGGGCGAATGTTAAGCGCAGCTCGGCCCATGCAAGACTGAAGCATATTAGTTTTGGCCTTGCAATCATTATTGACAAATCATGATTTGGATCAAACTTACTTGATACCCAAACACATTCGCGGACCGCGGGAGAAGGCGACTAGCCAGTTATCCAGCTCGGGTGTTTCAAGCCAGCGTTCAGGAACGAACTTGTCTGGTTCTGGGAATATTTCTGCATTGTAATGGACAAATGTGCTACCACAAGACACGATGGCCTGTTACACAATCAGCAGAGAATTTGTCTTAAGTTGGGATTGTGAATGTACGTACGCCTGGTGGCACAACCCTCCCTGTTATGGTTGCGCCGGTTGCAGGTACCACGCGCAGTAGGCCAGCGGTAACGCCAGACGAGAGCCTCAGCGATTCCTTGATGACGGCATTCAGGTATGGCAAGTCTTCCATGTCTTTTAGCTTGGGCTCGCTGTCCTGGAGGGAGGGCCAATGTTCCAGGAGTTCCGTCTTGAATTTTTGCAATCTAGCGGGGTCTTTTAGCAAATGGAAAGAGCCAACCATGAGGGTATTTCCAGTCGTATCTGCACCTCCAAACATGAGTGCTTGCGTCTCCTCATACAAGCTGCCGGCGGAGGGAACCTTTTTGTCACGATGGGCTTCGGGATCCATCAAACGATGGAAAATGGTCATGTTGTGCGGAAGGAGCTTGAGTTTTTCTGGGTCATTGGTTAGGTCGTTGATCTGCTGCATTAGTAGCTGCGAGTTTGTCAGTAACGGGAATTGAATATTTTTATTTTTTGGTTTAGGTGTTGCAATCACGTATGAGAGGGGGGGTGGGGCGAAGAGGCAGCATACCTGGTTGAGATCAATCAAGCCCGCCATCAAGGGGCTGAGGATCCTGGAAATCTTCGGGGGACATTTCAAAATGAAGTTTTTGAATAGATCCGAATACTTGAAGTAGAGGGCTACGGGAGTTGACGCGTCAAGGGCTACGACAATGGGGGCGTTGAAGTCTGGAGCATCGACGGCATGGATGGGATTGCCAAAGCACAGAGTGGTGATGACGTCGACGCTCATGCAGCGGAAGGCGTAGAAGAGGTCAGTGGGCTTGGAAGCTCTGGCTTGGCGCTCAAAGGCGGCACACAGAGCCTTGATCTTGTCGACACATAGGCTCTCTGCACTGCGAATGGCGGCTTGAGAGAAGGAGGGGTTCAGAACGTGCTTGCGGTCCTTGGCCTCGGCATAGGTAAGGAAGCCAAAGCTGGACCTGTCCTCGTTGAAGCTCTTGTAGAGTCGGGCCTCCTTGTCCCAGCGGTTCTTGTTGTTGTAAATGTCGTGGTAGGCTTGGGGGTTGGCAAAGTGGAGCTATTCGAAGCTTGTCAGCATTGCGGGACGGGGTGTGGGGGTAGGTGTAGATGCAAGTGATGAATGCTTGCTTGCTTGCTTGCTTGCCTCGTTGGGGCCGACGCGAACGACATCGCCGTAGCGAGCATGCAGGTCGACTAGGTAGTGGCAAAAGGATCGGTTTGCGATGCATTCAATGTAGGCCTTCCAGTAGACGGTGGCGCCAGCCAGAGGCGGACCGGGGAAGCTGGCGAGTGGATGCAGGTAGATGTTGTACGTCAGGGCGGCCACTACATAGGCGGCCAGGGCGGCCAGGGCGGCGGAGAGGAGTACCGCCGAGTCGGGTGCGTGTGCGTGGGAGAGTAGGGACATTGGCATTGATTGGTATGGCAATGGTGCCGCGGGAAGGTGGGAGAAAGAAGGGCAATCAGTTAGTTGTACAACATTGTCAGTGCATTCTGGGCCTCTGCTATTCCTGATTGCGTCGCAGGCTCCATGACGTCTGCGCAGAAGGTCGAGTAGATTACGCGCGACAATGACCAACCAGAGCCATCAGGCGTTTGGTGTGGACAGAGCACTGTGCACATGGGAGCGATAGGCGAAGGAACGATTTGGGAGCCGCATCGCAATTGCAATCGCACACTGCACACACGGAGCGGGGCGGCACTAGTCCAATATCGGGAGTCAGCATGTAAGTAAGTTGGTTGGATGGCGATGTGAGTGGTGGTGCCTTGACTGCGCTGTGTAATATTACTGGCGTGTGTGCAGGGACAGCGAGAGAGCGAAAGAGTCGAGGCCTTGGTGGGGTAGAGGGGGTGGGGTGGGGTGGGGAATGCGGTATGTAGTGTACGCATACGCATACGGAAGCAGGGCGTGCATGTACCAGTAGGTATGGATACGGTGGGTACATGTGAGCACGCCAAGGCCCACTCGCGGATGCAAACGTGCCGAGCCGTGTGAACGATTACCTGCTGGCCTGCTGGCCTGCCGGCCTGCCGGCCTGTGGCCCGGCTTTGTGTATCGACTGGCTGGGTGTGTGTGTGTGTGCGTGTGTGCGTGTGGACTGACTGTGGACTGGTTGGCGGGCTGGGCTGGGCTGGCTGGGCTGCACCTGCCTGATCAGAGGACAAGAGGCGAGGCGAGGCGAGGCTAGGCTTGGGCCATGGCACTCACTCTACTGTGTATTCCCCTCCCTCCCACACACACACTTACTGCACGCTGGCCCTTACCACCTGCATCATCCTCTCTAACACCGCCTTCACCCTTGCCTTGCTGTCTGCCCCCCATGGCTGACATTGGCGCCCAAATTGCCCTTGTAAGCCACCAGCTGCGCCTGTGTCCATGCCTGTCCCGCTTCTGACATTGACCCTCGCCCAGGACTCGGATGATACAGATTCGGCCTTTGGCGATGACTCGGCCTCGTAAGTCTACACCACCATCTGTCATCACTCATTGGTCAAGGAACGAACGCCTCTAACCACATCCCCTTTCAGCGAGACAACATCGCTCAAGTCGGCCGTAGTCAACTACAAGTACCGCAACGGCCGCCGCTACCATGCCTACAAGGAAGGCTCATACTGTGCGCTCACCCGCCCTGCCCTGCCCTGCCCTGCCCTATCAGCCCCATTCCTTTGCTCTACTCAAGTATTTGTTTTGTTTATTGACTGCTTGACAGGGGGGCCTAATGATGAGACACAGGCCGAGCAGCTCGACATTGTGTATGCACTGCACCCATCCGTGGCCATGCACCACTTTATTGACTGTATCCCCATAGCCACCACATATGTCTCCTCCTCCTCGATGGAGAGCTGTACATGGCTCCCTTGACCAAAGATCCAATGGTACGCCCCGCCATGGCCACCATGCTTGGATGTCCATATTGACTGTTCGCTCCCTTCTTCTAGCGTGTATTGGACTTGGGCACTGGCACTGGTATGCAACCACCAACAATCTACCTGACCGGCCGCCTCAGACTAACTTGACAGGAATATGGGCAATGTCAGTCTCTCGCCCATCTCTACCCCTCAAACTAACACATGATCCCCAGTGATTTTGCCGACAGATTCCCCTCGTGCGAGGTCAGTGTCAAATACCAACAACCACCCCAAACTGTGCTCTAATTCCATGATATAGGTCCTAGGAACCGACCTCAGCCCCACACAGCCGTCCATGATACCCCCCAACCTTCGCTTCGAGGTCGATGACTTTACTGAGCCTTGGCTATTCCGCAAAGAGAGTTTTGATCTCATTCATGCACGATCTCTCTTTGGATGCGTTGCTGATTGGCCCAAGTTCTACCAGGAAGCACTCGAGTATGTCGCCTTGCCTCGTTCCCACCTTTCTCTGCACTGCTAATTCTAGCCTACCAGCCACCTCCAGCCCGGCGGTTGGTTTGAACAACTCGAAATGTCTGTTGTTCCCAAATCCGACGATGGCACCGTAGAGCCTGGCTCCATCTTTGAAAAGTGGGGCAAGATCTCGGTTGAACTCGGTGACAAGTTTGGAAAATCGCTGCGCACCGCCGACGAGGCCAAGGCCGGTATTGAGGCTGCTGGCTTCATCAACGTTGTTGAACACCGCTGGAAACTGCCCATTGGCGGTTGGCCAGCTGACAAGCGCTTCAAGGAGCTTGGCCTTTACAACCGCATCAACTGGGAGCAAGGCATAGAAGGGTGGAGCATATATCTACTCACCACCGTTATGAACTGGACCATTGAAGAAGTCCAAGTCTACTTGGCTTTGATGCGCCAGGCCTTGCGTGATCGACGCATCCATGCCTATCAAGAAGTGTCGTTGGTTTATGGCCAGAAGCCACCAAGGCCTTCGGCGCCTTCACCATGATGCGCCTGTTTTTAATACAACTGTCCGTCTCATAGCGTTCGATATCTGACATGAAATCAAGATTTTGTCTATCTGACGATACGTTGCCGTGAGTGTGTTGCAGGCATGTTGAAGAAGATGAACAAGAGGAGGAAGGAGAAGAAGAGAAAAAGTAAAGCAAAACACAACCTGTTGAAAGGCTTATGCGTCTGTGTCATGCAACGCAATATGCCCGCCCAGTCAGAGTGATGAACTCCCCACCCCCTGCAGAACGCCGCATCCCAAACACTAACGCCAATTGTGTTGTACCTGACGCACCACGTTTCTATCTCCTGTTGATAAGGTTGAGAAACTCCTGGCGAGTCTTTTCCCGCGAACGCATGCAACCAAGCATACAGCTTGTAGTCGTTGTAGCACCCGTCTTCTGTACCCCACGCATCACCATGCAAAGATGGCTCGACTCCACAACCACCGCAACCCCCTGTGGCTGCAGCATCTCGGAAAGCGCCAGCGCAACTTGTTTCGTCAGCCGCTCTTGCACTTGGAACCGGCGGGCAAACATTTCGGCAATGCGCGCCAGCTTCGACAGGCCGATGACGCGGCGGTTGGGGATGTAACCAATGTGCATCTAAGGCAGACAGTACGGTTAGTCGACATATTCTTCCATCCAGCCAAAACAATCTCAAGTCAGAGGAAAGCAACCTGTACTTACTTTTCCAGTAAAGGGTACCAAGTGGTGCTCGCACAGCGAAAATATCTCAATGTCCCGTACAATCACCAGTTCGTCGTGATCTTCATGGAAGACGGCTCCGTTGACAATATCCCGTAGGTTCTCCTCGTAGCCTTTGGTGAAGAAGAGCAGCGCCTTTGCGTACCGCTCGGGCGTGTCCAGCAAACCCTCGCGATCAGGATCCTCGCCTAGACACTCGAGCATTGTCCGTACAGCGCCCGACAGCTTCTTGAGATTCTCCGCCTTCTCTTCGTCCGTCGCCTCCTTTCGATGCCGTGTGCCCTTGCTGGGCCAGCTAAGCCCATCAAAGTCAATCGTCGGATGTTGGGTATATGGGCTGTGCGCGCGGCTCGTCGCAAGCGGTGTTTGGACGACGGCGTCCTCGCCCTCGGATTCCTGCTCCGTGTGGCCGTTGCTCATCTCGAGTCCGCTGTTTGCACTGCCACCATTGTTGTTTGCTACAAAAGCCTTTGCGGGGAAATAGCCAGTCGGCCCGTCGAAATTTACCACCTGCCGGCCCCGGTTGGACGTCTCAATAGCATTGAAGAGATTTTCCCGCTCCTTCTTGTCGCGAGCTTCGGTCGTGAGTCTGAGTGGCGAGCCTCCATTCACCATGTGTGTCGGCACAGCGGAATGTGGTTTGGTCGTGTCGGCGTCCATGATGGCGGGGTGTGGGGATATCGCAAATAGGGTTTCGCGATGGAATGATCGGGGCTTATGTTTAGTATGTCGGTATAAGTACTTATGTAAGAGTATGGCTAGATCAGACTTGAGGAAGAGAGGAAGAGGGGAAGAGCAAGAGCGAGGGCGAGAGCGAGGGCGAGAGCGAGGGCGAGAGCGAGGGCAAAGTTGCCAAAAGTTGAGAAACGGTCCAGTAATACATGGTTCCTACGAATTCCTAGTCGCGCCGGTCCATATGACTGCATGAGAATAACTTTGTCCTAACCCCGGCAAAATGCGGCTTAGCGTGCCATGACCTGACGCCACACTACACTACTGGCTACTAGACGTGCACGTGATGCGAACCAGAGCGGGCTGCAGCAAGTCCAGGAAGGAGCGCCCGGCTCTCTGCTGCACTCCAACAACACCCCTTCTACCCAACCCCCACCCTCCCCCATCAATACACTCCGTCGCAGCCACACATGCTCATCACCCTTTTGGCTGGCGCTTCTCTTCTCTGTTGTTTGATGGTACAGCGATGACGCCGATGACAACGGCTGCCATGATTACAATGAGGGGCAGACGGCGAAGATGAGGTGGTTGGCGATACCTGGCGCCCTCCCAGGCAGGCTCTGGCCTGTCTCGCAACTTTACTCCGCAGTCCCGTCTTACCGCCATTCCCAGCAATAAAAGGTGTGCGCATGCCTCTTCGCCCACAGTACATGATAAAGCAGGCGACAACACTACCGGCTTGCGCCTATCGTGGCAGGACTTTGGACGCTATCATACTATGTGCTGCTACTACTGTACTACATGAGGGTCCACGACGTGTCTTTGGACGCGCCCTCATCACACCACCACTCTAGGGAGTCACTTACCCGCCGCGCATCACCGCATAACTAGTTACTAATTCTTCTCCATGTCGCGTCTCTGATGTATACTACACATCACTGTCGGTGAATAGGTGGGAAGGTCAATGACTGTCAGCCGTCGTCGCCTATCGGTCACGGCTAGGTGTGTCCCCGCAACCGTCCATCACTCAGCTTCGCGTATCCCAGCCGTGTGCTCGGAATATTGTCGTTGGGGCGGGGGGTTTGTTGGTTTCCCGGCTCCTTCGGTCACGATATATGAAAGATGGTCTTTGTTGGGAGCCTCCTCTTGGTAAAGCGAGTCGACTGCGACTATACTCAGTGGCCTTAAGCCGCATGTTGCTGTCTGTGGGATCATGGCGCATTCGCCCTACACCTATTTATTGCTACTGCTCCATGCTTCCTCGTGGACTGCCTCGCTCGCATGAGCCCACGGTATTCAACATCGGACCAGATCCACGGCCCAGCGGCGCTCAACTCAGTCTTCATTTTGACCATCCGCGGAAATCCAACCCCCCTTCGGTTCGTGTGTAGGCGCTTGCCAACACGTACATTCCGGTTAGAAGCCCTCAACCCGTCTTTGAATCCTACACTGGATGAAGGAATTGCCTTCTGCGAAGGCTTCGCAGTATGGAATGTCTGCCATGAGTCGGTTATGTCGCTTTTGCATGCAGTAGATAGTTGTCGTGACGCTTGGCGGCCTGCCCTTGATGCATAGCAGCCAGCAGATGGAAAGTAGACAGACACTCCGGAAAATGGCCGTAGGCAGCAGACATCACGCAAGCGCACTAGGACTTGAGACTGAAGGGACGGGGTATGGGTTTGGATGGGGTTGGGGTTGGGGATGCGCCCTTTGGAGGAGGGCCTCCTTGTCACGAGGCCTTGGCGTCATCGATAGCGGCAAGCGAAAGGACCGGCCGGTGCAAAGGCACTGCGACAGTAGCGTCTGCAGCCACGACAGCATCATTCAGAAGCGCACTGACATCAGGCAGCGCATTCCGGCTTGTCTTTCGGACCAGTTGCAGTGGCATCTCTTTTTCTTTTCTCTCTCACTATCTGGTCATCGGCTGGGGGGTTCGGAGATAGAGTTCCTTCCTGCTCGGCTAGGCTGTCGCTCTGACCCGCGAATCTTTTGATGCTGCAACCTTGCGACTTCTGATGATACTTTTGCCTCTATGGCTGCCCTGCGACGGGCTCAGGATATAGACGAGCGGAGAACTGAGGTATCGCCTGACCGAGGTAGGGAACGTCCCAAAGACCGCCACCGCGACCGCAGCTACGACCCTCGTACATCGTCACCAGCACCACGGGCGGGCAGACATCATTCCAGGCATCGCGCCCACGACCACGACGCCCGCTCATCAGGCAAACACGGGCGAGGCCATTCGCGCGATAAAAGCCTCGACAGGGACCGCACGCGTCGGCGAAGTCGGAGCGCCTCCAAGGAGGACCGCTATCGAGGCTCAGAGAGGGAAGCCAGTGCAGACAGGGTTGCCCACCCCCATCGTCGACACCACCACCATCATCACCATCACCATCACCATCACCACCACCGCCACGACACGACACCATCCTCGAAACATTACCACAGTCGCTCCCCATCCCCTAGGTCCTCATCCAAACGCGTAAAACGTCCGCGGAGTCGCAGCACAGTGCGCTCCAGGTCGCCAACACGACGTGCAGATTCCTCGGGCCAACCGTCGGCAAGGGCATACTCGCCTCGCCCTCATACCTCTGACCGCGATCGGCTGCCTCGACGAAGCACCCCCGACAGTTACTTCCCGCCCGCTTCACACAGGCGTCAGTCGCCATCCGTGGATACTTATTACAGACCAGCAACGCAACGTGCACGGAAGAGGTCGGTTTCGCCCGATAGAAGGTCCAGGCGTGAATTGTCCCCGAGGGCATTGTCCCCGAGGCGGACTCACGGGAGGACCACGCCGCCCTTGGATCGTTCTCGTGAAAGGTCCCACAAACCCAGCTCTGTTCGTGGTCGGACAAGAAGTCGCAGTCGAGCACCGAGACGCGTCAGGTCTCGCTCGCCGCTCCGCAGACGATCCCCAACACTTGTTCGCAAAAGTTCGCCCCCCAGCTCCAAGCGAGCTAGGACTCCACCACGTAGAAGCCGATCACCTCCCATACCCATACGACGTCGTCAATCCCGTTCGCCCTCTCGGGGGTCCAAGTCAAGACACCCTACTAAGCACATTTCACGCAGAAGCTCGCCGGTATCTGGATCTGGCTACAATTCGGATACGTCCAGGGGCCGTAGAGACGACGACAAGATGAGAGGAGCATACCATTACCAAGGCCGTGGTGGGTTTCAGCAATCCCCACCTTATCCTTCCCATAATCAATACTCTCCTCAAAACCAGTCACCCTACCACAGTGGCAGAGGGGGTTGGAGCAACCAGCCCTATCCAAACCACGGGTAAGTTACATTCAACATCTGCCTACTTTGCGCTGACTTTGACAGGTCTCCCCCACATGGCTATACTTCAGGCCAATCTCCATATCATCAAAGTCAATCCCCTGGCTACCACCCAAACCAGTCGTATCCTCAATCCGGTTTTCAATCCAGTTCACATCGGGGTGGACACGGTGGCTTCCGCGGTAACAGCTTCCACGGTTCCGATCGGCGAATCTCAGGTCCTGCCGGAGGTGCTCCCTTTAGTGGACCTGGAGGCCGGGGTCGGGGCGCTGCACCTACCCAATTTTCGAATCTCTCATGGACACCCGCGTCTGGAACAAGAGGCGGTCGTCCTGCTACTGAAGCGCCACGTCCACAGCCTCTTCCTACATCCCAAACGGTAGCCGATTCCACATCTGTCGACGCGGACGACAATCCTTTCCGCCCTTCGAAAGATCTACGGGTAGAGGATGAGGGCTCAAAAGAAGAGCAGAAACCCGCTCCTCCAGCCAAATCTTCGGCTACGCTCCCAACAGCAACCAAGTCGGGATTCGGGTTCTCACTCAAGACAAAGAATCCGGTGCCTCCAGCAAGCAAAGCAAAATTGGGGCTGGAAGAGCCCGAGAAAGCTGAGCCAGCGTCGAAAGAGTCACTACTCGATCCAAAAGCAAAGGTCGAAGCAGCACGCGACATTGCCCCCCGCTATGCTGAGTCAAGAAGTGATCGAGACAGAGATCCAAGAGAGAGGGACTACGACCATAACAGGGAGCGAGACCTGAGGGAGCGAGACATGAGGGAACGAGATCGTCGCTACGATAATTATTACGACCGCAAACCAGCCTACCGAGATCCCCGTGAACGAGATCCTCGAGACATCCGAGATTCTCGTGATCCCTATTATCGTGGTAGGGAAAGGGATTTCCGAGACCCGCGCGACCGAGACTTTAGGGACCCTCGGGATATTCGAGACGGGCGTGATATTCGGGAAAGGGATTCGCGGGACATGCGGGATCCAAGGGATGTACGAGACCCAAGGGACCGCAGGGAGCCGTATTTTCCACGAAGGCATGACGACAGACGGCCAGATACACGCCCTATTGTTCGACAAGAACGAAGGACGCCACCTCCTCAAATATCAAAAACCAAGACAATTACAAAGAAGCGAGAAAAGCCACGACCTACACTAGCCCCAGAGCATGCAGCCTCGGAATCAGTGTACTACAGGAAACCTGGCAATGAGTCAGTGGTCGGATCAGGCACGTATGGAAAGGTCTTCAAAGGAGTGCATGTCTATACAAAGGATATGGTTGCACTAAAGAAGATTCGTATGGAAGGCGAACGCGATGGTGTATGTATTTCTTGTGAACGTAAACAAGCTGTTTTGCTGACATTCTGCAGTTTCCAGTCACCGCCATTCGCGAGGTTAAACTGTTGCAGTCTCTCAACCACCCCAACATTGTCAACCTCCGAGAGGTGATGGTGGAGAAGAATGACTGCTACATGGTCTTCGAATACCTTTCCCACGACTTAACCGGTCTTTTGAACCACCCGACATTTAAACTTGAAACATCGCACAAGAAAGACCTTGCAAAGCAACTCTTCGAAGGTCTCGATTATCTCCATCGACGTGGAGTTTTGCATCGCGACATCAAGGCAGCCAACATTCTCGTGTCTAATACCGGACAACTAAAACTGGCTGATTTCGGTCTTGCTCGTTTCTACTCGAAGAGTGGCAAGTTGGATTACACCAATCGCGTCATCACAATCTGGTACCGATCCCCGGAATTGTTACTTGGAGAAACGCAATATGGCCCAGCGGTCGATATCTGGTCAGCAGCATGTGTACTTGTGGAGATTTTCACGCGACACGCCATTTTCCCGGGCGATGGCGGAGAAATCAATCAGCTTGAAAAGATCTACAATGTCCTTGGCACGCCAACAGTACAGGATTGGCCTGGCATCGTGGACATGCAATGGTTTGAGCTTCTACGACCAACCGAGCGCAAGAAGTCTACGTTTGCAGAAAAGTACAAGGACCGCGTCAGTCCTATGGCCTTCGAGCTGCTTCAGGCAATGTTCTTATACGACCCAAATGCACGGCCAGCGGCGGCCGACGTGCTCGAGCATCCCTTTTTCACTAGCGAAGCCCCTGCGCCAAAGCGAGCCGAGGCGCTGAAAGAACTTGAAGGGGATTGGCATGAATTCGAAAGTAAAGCACTTCGGAAAGAGAAAGAAAAGCAGGACAAGGAGGCCCGGCGGGCTGCTCGTGAAGAAAAGGACAACGCAAGAAAAGATGAGGGCAAACGACGGGCGGATGCAGCGGTGGGTGAAGAGAGAGACGCAAAGCGTGCGAAAAGTGGAGATGTCACAGCATAGTATGCCAGGTATTCATGTTTTTGAGGTCACTGCTGATACCATGGACGACGGTGATAATGTTTGTACTATTAATTAGAGATGTTTTTTTCTTCTATACGCTCTTAGATGCGTACATACGGGTACCGAGTCTATGAAGTATGCATGCACGGTCATGTAGCTAGATCTTACGGAAGACTGGATACTGGTCACCAACCTCCATTGGCAGCAATCCAAACGAAACATAGGAGTCAATGTTCTCGGGCTCTAGGGCTACAAAGGCCAAGCCCGCATTCTTCTGGGCGGCGGTGACGAAGAAGCTGCCAGCTGGCAACGAAACGTGCTGTACAGAAGTCTCCGTCGTCACCGTGTTCAAGATTGCTCCTTCGTAATACGACGAAGCAAATTTTGAAGAAGTAATGTTGTAGACCTCGACCTCTCCTCGATACGCCTCTGGCATGGTCTCAACATCCAAGCCAGAGACGCTCAAGCGCTCAGCGAGATCAGCCCATGCACGAGGGATGATGTAAGCCTGAGGCCTCGTACGGGTGAGGTTCGCCGTTGCGGGAGTATTGCTTGCGAATTCGACGGGCAGCTGAACGACATGTCCCGTGCGGCGATCGACCATTGTAAATGTACGATTGGCATAGTTTGGGTAATCGGTAACGACAATGTCTTGCTTGCTTGCCACAAAATCCGCAATCGCATTATCCACTGTGCTCTTGACCTGCTCGGCATTGTCTCTTGCTGCTTCGAGCACACCGAGAATCATCTGCAGACCCGCCAGGGTCCTGCGCTTGAACTGCTGGTTCGCAATGCCGATGCCCCTCGTCTCGAAGAGGAACGTGATGCACTGCGTCAGGCCCATGGCGTTGCGCCCGATTTTTGCGTCGGTGCCAGCTTCGACGAGACGGGGTGGGTTGCGGCTCGAAGCTGTCATGTATTGCTCGCCACGTAAGCCTCGGGAGATGAGCGACGCGTTGATGGCCGGTGCGAAGAGGGCCTCCGAGAGCTCGCGGATGTCGGGATGTATGTTGAGATTCTTGGCGCTCGAATACATGGCATCGGCTGCGTTGCTGTAGTGGGTCGAGTAGAGTGTCGCTGCGCCGTATTCGTGCAAGTCAATGGCAATAGTAGGTGAAAAGGTGCTGAACCATTCTTTGATATCGCGGGTCTGCTGGCGAGCGAGTTTGGTGTGATCGCGGTTTGGATCAAAGTTGGTGGCCAAGGTACGTTGAAAGTATGCGTTGCCGTCTGGGTTGTAACGCGGTAGAACAAGAATGTCCATTTTCTCCAGCACGGTAGCGGCCCATGCTGGGTCATTGTCCATGGCCCCGAGCAAGGCGAGCGCGGCTTCATCGCCAGCGGGTTCGTTGCCATGGACTGAGCCTTGAATCCAGACTCTGAGCTTGTCTGACGTCGTGTTTGATGCGGATGACGCCGAGAGTAGGACGTAGGGAAATGTTTTGCCTTCTTCACTAAGGAAATCGGCCACTTGATACTTGATCCATGAAGGGTTCTTTGCAGCAAGGCCACTGATGAATCTTTCTGTGCAAACATTAGAATGAGCAATTGTAGACGTGCAATTGGGATTCGTGTACCCAATTGACCGGGTGAAGTGGCCCCCTCGGTGCCCTCGAACCACCCAGGATCGAAAGTGGCATTGGACACGAAGGCAGGGCTATAAAGCGTGACATTGGGCGCTGGGAATGCCGCCTGCTCTACAAGCTGCGAATCGAAGCTTACAGCGCCATGGTTTTCTCCATACTGGGTTTGCGCCGATGCGTATGCTGCGAACAGCAGGATAGTAGCAGACCGTCTCATCTTCGCCGCGTCACTTGAGATGGGGACGGAGACACCAAAACCCAAACTGCGCATACAAGACTCTTATCCCATATTCCTTTGCCCTGTTTCCCCGTTTTTCCACAATGGATGATACGTCAGTCAAGACGCGCATTTTGCCTGTTGGAGTACTTGCCAAGAGAACGACCCTTGGCGCTGCAGTTGCTCCTGCCATATTCGGCAACGTATCGCTTGTCCAGACCTCTAGTCTATGGTTGTTATCGTTCAGGACCGGCTCACGGCCGGTTGTGCAAAGATACTGATACTGATACTGTGAGGTTGTAGTTGTCGTGTTTGAGCGGGTCGTCGGCCGAGTCGTCTACATACTAGTAGTACTACTAAGACCAAGAGCAAGTAGTAAGAGAGCAGCGGAAGGCATTGCACCACTGCCTACTAATAAGTACACACGTTACTACTGGTACAACAATCTGCCAGATGTTTATTTGTTAGCCACAAAAAGAAGATATCTGTTCGCACATTTCTATGCTGAAAAGCATCTATCGCCATATATCTTCTGTGAGTCGTCTGCTTTTCTTGTTGCAAATGGGACACACGAGAATTAGATCTGACTTGCTTCTGTTGCTATAACAAGGCACGAACTTACCTACACTACATACATGAGAATGGGCATAGTATACCAGGCCTCATTCCCGAATATCTGCATTCCAAAACAGGCTACTTACCCATCCACGTGCACCACTTCCCCGGCCTCCCCACCTCGTAGCAACAATACCCCGAAAATCCGGTATTGATGCATCCAGTTAGCTGGATCAATTAGCGGCGCCGTATTGACCAGATGATGCATCGTGCTCCGAATTAATGGCTGGTACCCAGTCAATTGGATATATTGCTCTGCCTATAGTAAACATCGCATAAGTTGCAAGATCGCGCCGCAATTGCAGCGCCCACCTGCGTGACCATGAAGCTCTTTTCGCCCCTACTGGCTTTGGTAGGGCTATCCTCCCTAATCTCCGCCCTTTCGGTTACCTCGGTGAAGAACTGGAATATCACAGATGATGTGCAGGGGTCGGTGCGTCTCAATGGTCTTGCTTTCCAACAACACGCCTTGACGACGTTTGGAGACTACCAATATGTAGCCTTCTACAAGACAGCCTCTGGATACGGCAAGCATTATGTCAATCTTGGACGGCGAAGAATTTCGCCTTCGCTTGGCGACTGGCAGTACTTTGCCTTCAGCGACTACGAACAGACGACACTCGATGAGCACAACACCATCTCCATGGGCATCAGTGGCGATGGAAAAATACACCTAAGCTTTGACCACCATGATGTTCCGCTCAACTACCGTGTGAGCAACGCTGGTATCGCCAAGACTGTTCCCTCTGCATGGACGCCAAGTGCTTTCGGGGCTGTTCAGCACAGTTTGCCAGGTTCCACTGGTCCATGGACGCCGCTGACTTACCCTCGCTTCGAGTCTATCGATGGTGGCGACCTCTTGATGGAATTCCGGATAGGGCAATCTGGTGCGGGAGACTCATATATCCACCGCTACTCTGCCACTACTGGGAAGTGGACCGCCGTCGGAAAGTATTTGCAGGGCGAGGACAATAACGCTTACGTTAATGGTATCAACAACGAAGGAGGAAAGTTGTTCGTTTCATGGACTGTCCGGGAAACCCCTGATGCCAGCACAAACCACGACTTTTTCTTTGCCTTCTCAGAGGATGCTGGCAAATCTTGGAAGCAAACCAACGGCCAAGCAGTCGCAGTTCCCATTAAACCTTCAACACCTGGAGTCAAGGTCTACTCGATCCCGCAGAACAGCCAAATCATCAACCAGGAAGCGCAGTTCGTAGACCGTCAAGGTCGTTTCCACGCATTGATGCGCGACAACTCAACTGGCACACCGCAGTTTTACCATTACCTGCGAACAACAGATGGCAAATTTACCAAGACTGCCATCAACGCACCGGGCCTTTCTGCGCCACCGTACCTTGCCTACCGCGGCAAGATTGTTGCTACTGGCGATAGTGTAATTGCAATTCTCCCGGACCAGCCAAAGATGACAATTCAGCTCTGGGCCGCGACTGCAGGCGCAAGCTACAAAGACTGGAAGAAGATAGCAGACATTCCCAACTCTGCTGGCGAACCTTTAGTTGACGAGGCTAGGGTCAAAAACTTTAATATTTTAAGCTTATTCGTGAGGCAGGGTGGACCTTTTCCGGACCGAAAGGTCCAAGTCTGGGATTTTGGTCTTTCCGCTTGAGAATAGCAGCATTTTAGAGCATTCCACGATCGCGGTATACGGATACGCTCAATCAGATATAGTATTCTTCAAAGAGTCATGTTTCCAAGTTCATAAAATGCCATGATATGCGAACTCAATCTGCTTATTGCAATGCTTACTATCGGGAAATTGGAGGGCGAAACGCTAAATGATTTGGAGGTTTCTATTTTCGAGTCTATAGTATCGTATCTGCCTTCCGCGATTCTTGGTCTAATCAACAGCTACGACAAGGATCTGATCGTTTTGCAAGAGATAAATATGATTATACTACGACGTGGGCACTAATGAAATAGTATCCACAACTCAGCGTGGACCATGACTGACACGAATGGCACCTTTTATGCATGCATATCAAGCAGAATATTGAAGTGCAATCTGAAGACCTGCCAAACTCATGTAGTGTTTTAAGTTTTTTCCCGCAAGAGTCCTACCATGCGGTCGGTAATATGGTTGGGCTGCGCATACTACTACGTGATCATCTGCACCTTTCGCACCGTGCTGTTGGAATGCATGGTCGGAAGAATGTGCCGATTCGAGCGAGTTAGAATAGGCATAAGACGATGGAAATTTCTCCGGTGCCATGGTTTAGACCTGTCACCTGCGCCTTATGATGGCTAGCCAAGATAACAGGTGCCGGTAACTACTACGGTATAACCTCGGCTTCTTCCGCTTCCACACACCAATTTGCAATTTAAACGTTCGGAGTGCGGATGCAATACCCGTTACTGTAATGATCTGCATTGTTTAGGACATCAAGTGTCGAATCTAGCCATGACCAAGGCGGAAGGTGCTGCAAGCGGAAGAATTGTGTAGTTCATTATTCCGACCTATGAATGTCAACAACTAGGAGGAGAAGAGTTTATTGCGTCACACTACACAGATGCATGGATCTCCAAGATGTAAAATGGTAGTGATTCGGATACGCTAGCCTTTCAAGTCGAAACGTGCCTTCGAAAAGTAACGGAAATGAGTTCAGTGCCTTCTCGTATACGGCATGATCGGCGGTGCAACACCCCCCGCTTATGCTGAGCACTAACTGGACCTATTCACCAGCACAACCCCTCTTTCCTGACACCACCACGCATCGACGGGCTTATGTATGTTCTCGGACAGGATGGAAGTGGGTTTGGACCGGCCTTCTTTACTCGAAACAAGACCGTGGCTAAGCTTGTGTGCTGCCATCTATTTACATAAGAAGTTACCGATGGCGCCACTATGGCCCCAACCCTCAGCTCTGGTACCTTTGGGGTTTCGTCACCATGCGCGCTCCTACTCTTACTGAGATAGTCCTCGTGCTCGCGAGCGGCCTTTGCGTCAACGCCGATTTGACCACAACCATCAACCCCAAATCAAACTGGGGAATCTGGGAAGGATGGGGAACGTCGCTGGCTTGGTGGGCTCAGCAATTCGGCGACCGAGACGATCTGGCAGATGTATTCTTCACACTCAAGGATACCAAATTTGGCAGTGTTACACTACCAGGCCTTGGCTTTAACCACGCTCGCTATAACGCCGGTGCATGCAGTTGGAACACTATCGGTACAGACAAGATGGTGGTGTCCCCCAACATCAAAAGATCGAGGCAAATGGAAGGATTCTGGGTGGATTGGACGAGCTCTGACCCAAATTCTGCCAGTTGGAACTGGTGAGACAACACTACATAGTTTTCTGACCTGTTTCGCTAAGTTTGGTTGTCGAAATCTAGGACCGTAGATGTCAATCAACGAAAGGCTCTCCAAAAGGCTATTGAGAGGGGAGTGGAAAAGACCGAACTCTTCAGCAATAGCCCAATGTGGTGGATGACAAGCAACCACAACCCATCTGGAGCCAGTGACGGATCCGAAAATATCCAATCGTGGAACCTGGAGCAGCATGCCGTGTACATGGCAACAGTTGCTCAAGTCTTCAAGTCTAAATGGGGCATTGAATTCGAGACTGTTGATCCATTCAATGAGCCTACTGCCAACTGGTGGAAGGCCGATGGTACGCAGGAGGGGTGCCACATTAACGTAGCCACCCAGGCTACGATTATCGGGCATCTTGACAAGCACCTCAAGAGCCGCTCGTTGGCGACTGTGATTGCGGCGTCAGACGAGTCTTACTATGACCAGGCCCGCGACAACCTCAAGAACATAGGAAGCAGCGCGATTTCCAAGATTGCACGTGTCAACGTACACGGCTACCAGAATGGAAACGGTGATCGTGTAGCTGTCCACGACCTGGCCGCAAAGGCCGGCAAGCCAGTCTACAACAGCGAGTACGGTGATGGTGACGCAACCGGACAGCAAATGGCAAGCAACATGCTACTCGATTTCCGCTGGCTCAAGCCCGTAGCTTGGGAGTACTGGCAAGTCCTCGACCAAGGTGGCTGGGGTCTGATTAACGCCGATAACGACGCCAAGACGGTGGGAGGACCAACGCAAAAGTACTTCGTCCTCGCCCAATTTGCCCGCCATATTCGCCCAGGCATGCAGATTCTCGATGGCGGTAGTGACTATACCGTCGCCGCATACGACGCCAGCAAATCCACCCTAGTTATTGTAGCGGTCAACTGGGGCAATGCGCAGTACCTCAACTTCGATCTGTCAAGCTTCTCGCAACGTCCAGCGAACGGTGCGGCAGTGACTCGCTGGGCTACCCAGATCGGTACTGGTGAACAGTATGGAAAGCACAGCGACACTGTGATTAACGGAACCAAGTTCTGGTCTTACTTTGCAAAGAATGCCATCCAGACGTTCGAGATTACGGGCATTAAGCTGTAAAGTGTAGCATACTTAATGCGCTATGAAACAAAATCAAAACTGTTTGTTTCCCAGAACTTGGTGTATTTGATCATCTTGCTGCTATATCGAAATCTAACTGGCATGATATGCGAGGGTGCCTCATCCAATTCTTTGCTTTCTCCTTATCCATATTTCGTCACCGTCAGCACCAGCTCTTTGTTGAACTTCCCAAACTTGAAGCTTATAACTGCCACGATCGGATCGTCCCGTATGTAAATCAAATGACCAGTCATGTTTAGGACATTGAATTCCTGAACTGAGTACCACTCCAAAATCTTCTATATCAAAGGGCGCGCCGTTGGAAAGAGGGTATGAAGAATGCGGGCATTCCTGCGGATATTGTGGTCAATACACAGGCTAGGTTACAGCTTGTCCTTTCTTTTGCCACCTACGTGGTTCACGGCAATAAATTTTCCCTTGTACTGGAACACCATGACCTGATCTTTTGCATTGCCACCCAGATCGGAATCTTTCCAATCATCAATTGAGATCTCTGTCGCTTTGGAGCTGTCATCTTGAGGCACGTGAAATACCCGACAGCCAGGTACAAATTTTCCACCGCACGGCCGTTGCTCGCTGACTCGCACGGAGTCATCGAGATTGGGATAAGATGACGCTAAACCAGCGAGAAACCAAGCATTCTGCGCTCTGGATGGGCGGACGAACGGGTTGGCGAGGAATGACATTGCCACTGGCAGCAAGGGTCCGGGACCGAGTGGTGATGGAAGTGGAGGCGCCCTGCAACACGTGGAAGAGACGAGGGTTGAATGCTTCAATCCCTGTCTAGGCTAGATGGTAGCAACGTTAAAAGGGCCACCCACATCGCGCATCACAATACACCATCTGCAATTGTGAAAGGGAGATGCGCTTTGACACGTGGGACGTGGCAATGGACTCTGAGTAAGTATGTAGATATGTTAGTTAAACGAGGGGGGGGGGCTGTAGTATTGGAGTTGCAGAGTAGATACTTCTTGATGTCATCAATCAGTACGTAAGATTCTTTCTTCTTGCTGCGTATATCGCGATCACATTCTTTGTCGGCCTCACCACCATACATCCTTCTATGATGTACTTACTGTGTAAGCAAAGAAGAATACTATACAACTCACCACTTCAACACAAGAACCAGCCTCGCACTCGTTACCAGGATCTACAGATGCAGCTAGTTGAAGTCGATCATTCTTCTGCCGGAGCTTCCGCGACCGCGTATCTCGGCAGAACATCTTCGCACCACCTCTTTTGCAGGTCGCGCAACAGACCAAGATCGACCAATTTCTGGTAACTAGCTAACTCTAAACGACACCATGGCCTGCAGACGCACGATATGGTGGCAGAGCTCCAGGACCGCGCACGAGTGATGGTAACACAGAAAGGAGACCTGATGTGCGCTAGAGCGATGTGACGACGCGCACTAGCCATATGCTGACCGAGTCGTGAAAGTATAAAGAGAAGAAAAAAACGTGTCCATACCTACACACATGCGTATGTATGTGGGCTTGAATCCAAGAATTCAGCGACATGGTATTCATCTGGTGCTGTGTCAAAACGGCATTGTACGAAAAGACTTCTACCGAGTTTGCACCAAACTCGCATAGAGAATCGGTAACCAAAGTAATTAGCCCTGCCAACCAATTACATGCCCATGCCGGTCTAGGGCAAAGCATACTACGTGGTAGGGTCGCGTCATCCGGGCCCTCATTACCACATCGGGCTTCTAGTGCCATCTCCTATCTCGTGTCGAGTTTTTGATTGTGGGGCGTCCTTGCCGATCACCCATTGTGTTGACAGCTCTTTTGCAGCTTTGGCACTTCTCATTTTTACTCTACTATCATTCTTGTGTACTTACATTGGCTTGATCCTGCGCCGCCCGCTGCGCTATCGTCATAGACTTGTACTTGTGGCTGCAGGTCGTCTTGTCGCCTTTCTCATTCTATCCTTTTTATTTGTTTGCTACTTGATTTCTTAATTTAATAAGACCTTTACTCGTGCGATACGAGCATCATGCCGTCGTGGTCGCCTGAAACACGGCTGGAATGGATCTTTTCCGCAGCTGCAGCGGCTCAAGGAGTCGTCAATTCAACCATTCAGATGTATGCTTCAACGTCTTATACAGTAGACAGGCCTGCTCCATCAACATCTTTGATTTTTCTTACTAATCCGCATGCTAGTGTTATCCTAGTCGTCTATTTGCAATGGGTCAATAAACCGATATACGAGGTACTACACCCTAACTGGTCGATCGAGCATCACTGATGGTTGTCCAGGTCCCATTATCCTATGTCATATCGTTGATCCTTTCCATCAACACCCTTGGCTGTTTCTATCAATTGATCTTGACACTAGACGCATACCGCATTAAAAACCACATTCAGATCTTTATGCTGTGTGTCGCTAATGTGTGTCTTTCAGCCGCGACTATACTGCAATATGGAGAGATACGCACTGCGTCGGCAAGAGCCGTTGTTGGTTTCAACGGAATGAACCTTCCTTTTGTGAAGAGGGACTGGGAATTCTGGAGGCGTGTGTCGCCCGGTTTGATTGTCTGCGCCGTGGTTAGCTGTACCTGCAGCACCGTCATGTGTCTTGTCGCCATGAAGCTCTATCGTGAATTCGCATGGGCTTTGTATCAAGACGTCAGTCCAGACATGGCCATACAATGGAAGTACATGTGCTATCAAGTTCGTATCCGTATCTTCATATCAGCGCAATCGTTCCCTTGCTGACCGTTTTCCAGATCTACCTAGGATTTCTCAAGTACACACCGTATTTCGTCTTTGCCTTTATATTGATCTACGACTTGATCAACGTGCACTATGTTGAGCCAGAATTCTCTTTGACCATGGCTATCATCCCTGTCACGCTCCTCCATTTGGCTTTGGCTGTATATTTTGTTCGACATGAAATTCGCATCGGCATGATCTTGGTCTTGGTAAGCCTATTTCCTTCAGTATCATTATCAATGTCCGACTAACTCTGCCAAGCTCTTCCATGCCGCTAATATCGCCTACGTTATCAGCCGATTGTTGGTCTTGTATGGTCATGGGCTACTCTCCAAGACGATGATGAAGGATGAGATGGTTTTCTATATCTGCATAGGTGGTGCACTCTCTTTGTTCTCGCTAGTTGCTGGGAGTGTCTGCATGTTTAACTTCAGGAAAGGACTGAAGCCTATTTTACTTGGGCAAATAAAACGACGACCTCAGGCGCATGAGCTTGAAGACGACTACTACATCCAACGGCTCAACTACAACATTGTACCGGCACCAGATCGGGATTCACAACGGTTCTTAGTAGATTGAGTCATAGGAGTGTTTTCTGTTCAAGCCAAGAAACGTTGGAACGTCAACCAAAAGTAAAATCAAGTACACCACTGTCATTTAGAAATATTTTGTGTTGGAGAATACAAAATGTGTATGGATGTCACAAACCATACAGTAGCATAGACTGAGACGATGCAAATCTTATGTATAATAGTCAAAAATCTTGGCATGAACTCTTGAGCTTATAATCAATACATGATCTCCATCGAAAGTTATACGAGGCACACGTCATACATGTCGCACTCTTCGCCGCCTAGTAGGTAGCCCACTTGCTAAACCAATTGAGAATATACGGTGCAGCGTCCCATTTGGTCGACCCGCCGCTCATTGAGTCGAACGGCTCGCCCTGCTCAACCCTGCTGGGCCAGCCATGACCATAACCCTTGATCTCCCTGTGCAGCACCAGATCCTTATGGCCATTGCATTTCCACTTGAGATCTGTTACGGTCTCATTCTCAGCAACTTCGGTCACGTATCTGCTTTCACAGTTGTCGCGCTTAACCCACGTGTCGACCCATTCACGGACGGGGATAAAGGGCGGAGTGTTATTGCCGTTGTACGGAACAATTTTGTCACTGAGACCGTGCAGGTTCAGGTATGGAAGTGCTCGGCCCTGCAGGTCTGGGTTACAGCCTGCTTGGTAGAGCGGCTCCGTCATGGCGGTATCTGGGTAGAATGCGCCGCCGACAGTGGAAACAGCAGCAAAGTGCTTGTTAAGTTTTGCGTCACACATGAGAAGCGCAACCATGCTTCCTCCATTAGATACGCCAGTGGCGTAGATGCGCCTTTCATCCACGCAAAAAGTACCTGTTAGGTTTTTACGGATCTCATCGACGAAGATGCGGTCGTCAATAACCGAAGAGTTGGGCGCAGCAACATCGCCTAGCCATTGTACCTGCATTACTTTGTCAGTCAAATTAAGATATCGGTCCGGGAAAGGCGAGCTTACACCTGGGACTTGGACATTCATGCCGGCAGGGTACACGACGATGGAATCCTTGTTGAAGTTTGGGTCTGATAGCTGGCTGATCTTCTCCATATTCCGTGCGGGCTGCAATTGGCCATGGAAAGCGAAGATCAGCGGTGCCGGCTTGTTATTCGAGGGAGCATAATTGGTAGGTAAATGCAAAATGTATTCCCTTTCCGTTATTTTGCCAATGACAGACTTGGATGAAATAGTCACATTGGTGGTTGAAGTACCAGGCTTGAAGTTGATCGGTAACGAACTACCACAGCCGGGACTTGCGAGGGCAAAGGGTGCAAGTCCTGCGAGGACACCTAGGGCGAGGGTAAGAGGAGCCATTATTGCGATCGTAGAGGGTAGGGAGGCCGATTGCCGTACAGATCACCTCAAGTCGAGGAACACGCGCCATTTATACCGAGTAACGGGAAAAAATGCAATGACTGTGGATGGATGTCCTCCTTCCGTCGCGCACGATCGTCTCAACGGTCCCGGCTCGGCCCAGTTGTCAGCCGTAGATTGCAACGGGGCAACTTCTTTCGGCCCTTTGCTTAGTGCTGAGATGCGCTTTAACGCTCAGGATAGTAAGTAAACAGTCGGTGAACAGCATTTGAATAGGGACCACAGGTGTGTCGAATCAGCCACATGTCCTAACATTGATATTCAGTTCCCATTTTCAGTGAACTTGGTTGAATTACGAGGGCATGTTATAGGCCTCATTCAAGATTTTCATTGTCGAAGGTAGATGTCAGTGTAAGAAACGTCAGCGTTGTCAGAAGGTAAGTCATGATCAAACTAGCAGCATCCCTACATCAAACCTTGCGTACTGGTCTTTTATTCAGCCACATGCGTATAGTTTGAATCCTACACTAACTATGGCGGCATATCAAGAAACGGACGTTTAGCACTTGGCATTTAGCATTTAGCGATTGACGGTTGACAGTTGAAGATCAAAAATTGACGGCCAACAATGCACGATCGATTACAAGCACACGCCCGTAATGCGATTACTGAAATTCAATTCATCCAATGTGACTTATTGATGAACAAACAAGTTTATAGTTTCTGTTCAAAGCATTTGCAATTCCAACACTATGAGGACAACCGCATAACACCAAATTTCTAACAGTGACATGCTTGGGTGCTATTTATAGTATTGGTGGGAAAACACTCGCGCATGAAACGCTCCGCTTAGCGCTACCGGAAACCCGGATATACGTCTAGCAAACTTTAACAATATGTTCCCTTTACACTAGACCGCAAATGATATTTTGTTAGCAGAAACCGTGAACGTATGCATAGCAAAGCATCACGACAAAACTCCAAACAGCACAACGCACAAGGCATGTCGGCAGCATCGCTTGGGTTAACATAAAAGTAACATCCTTACACACGACAAGACAAACACAGCATCTGAAGATGAAGATGAAGAAAACTATGAATGAATTATTACCAGGTAACCTGCCATGGTAACGCCATTGCCCTGCTACCAAGCATCCAATCTCATCCATCCATCATCAAAATACGCCCAATACTCCACCTCTCCCGCATCTACCTCGTTCGCAACTACAGTGGAATTTATCAGATGATAAAGCGGTCGCGCTGGTCGCGGTGGCGGCGGTAGTGGTGGTGGTGATGTTGATGATGACGGTGGTGGCTGCAGTAGTAGCGGCGGCGGCGGCGACGTCGACGGCGGCGGGCCTGAAATCTCAAAAACCCCATTCCGCATGCTAATCTCCTCACTCGAGCGCTGCCAATGCTTAAAGCTATGAAACCCAAATTCGTCAATGTCACGGTTGACGTCGGTTTTGCCATTCGTCTCTTTAGGCGAAAAGAGAATTCCCTTCACCATGCTCGTGGGCGTGGCCGGTACTCGCATCATGATTGTGGATGGTGGTGCCGCCAGAGACAACCCGTGTGTGAGTCGTCGTCTTGCCCATGCGGCCACCGCTTGCATTGCTGTGGGCGTGGTACATACTGCTGGCATTCTCCTCGAAGCGTTCCATCTCGCGGCACTTTTCTTCGTATTTGGCAATGTACTCGTCGCGCTCGCGGTCGGCGGCGTGGCGGGCCTGAATGGCGCGCTCCTTTTGCTCACGGGCCTCGCTCAATAATGTGCGCAAAGATGTGATTTCGAATTCAAATTCTGCAGAAGAGTCCTCGTAGGATGTGACTGTCTCGGTGATCTCTTCATACTTGTGCTTCCAGGCATTGAGGTCGGAGTGTGCGCGATCGCGATCGTACTTGAGGTTGGTAACCTCGGTTTGGAAGAGGGTTAGCTGTTCCTGGAGACTGGCAATCTCAGTCGTAAGATGTCCTTGCTTGATGCGAGAGTCTTCGCCCTCGCGGTATAAGACTCGATTGCGTTCAGTCAGGGTAAGGATCTCGGACTTGATCTCAGCAGTGGCGAGCTCAGACCGGCGAAGAGACTCTTCCAGGATATTGATACGGCGGCGACCATCTTCGACCTTGCGATGTTCATCGTGGACATCTTGCTTGAGCTGCTCGCGTTCAATGACGATAAGGCGGTGCTCCTCACGGGAGCGATCAATGACACTCGAGAGTTCGGCGCGCTCCAGCTCGATCTCTCGGAGCTTCTCTTTAACAGAGACAACTTCACGTTTGACGTGTTCATGCTTGAGCAGGTACTCATTGGCACGAGCATCAGCTTCCTCCCACCCAGCAACCTTGACCTTAAGGTCGCGACGCAAGTTCTCGATGGTGAAGGAAAAGTCGTCACGCTCTGCCTCGACAGACCGAAGGGTTTCCTTGAGCTTATGGAGCTCTCGCTGAACACGGTCGTGGTTCTCAGTGAGTTCAGTGAATTCGCGAGTTGCCTCCTCGACCCTGAACTTGGCACGCTTCAGTTCCTCGTTCAAGCGGTCCTTGTCATGAAGGTGTTCGTCCCGCTCAAGCTCGAACAACTTGATACGCTCATTGATCGTGATTAGTTCCTTGCGGGTCAGGTCGAACTTGGAGATGGTTTCTGAGTGCTTGCTTTTAAGCTCGGTGTGCTCACGAACAAGTGCGCGGATTTCATTGTGATGCTTCTCCGAGTCATGACGGGCAACGTCGCGCTCACTCTCGCAGACCTTGAGTCTTGCATATGTAGCTTCCAGCTCGGAACGAGTCCTCTCGTGTTCGCCGACCGTAAGTGCAACAGAGGCTTGGAGCTCGTGAAGCTCATGGCGGGTCAGCTCCAGTGCACGGTCGCGATCCGCAAGTTTCTTTTTATGTTCCGAAACTTGTGCGACGACAGCTGTGAGCTCAAGGATAAGCTTCTCGACCTGTCTCTTCCTCTCTCCATGCTCATGGCCGTGTTGTGAGTGTTCGGCTTCCTTGCGCTGGATCTCCTCGGTCACTTCCTCAACCGTGACCATAAGCTCGTCTCTCTCGCGTAACAGAGTATCACGCTCTGAGAGAATGCGTGCCCATGACTCTTTGAGTGAAGCAGCCTCACGAGAGGCATTTGCAATGAGATCCATCAGAGCGAAGACCTTTCCGTCCGCCTGAGTGGTAAGCTCGCTAGACATCTTGCTACGATGTGACTGGAGAAAGCTACTGGTACGACGAGAGGAGCTATTAAGCTGGCGGTTTGATCGACGTGTGGTTAGCGTTCCAATATGGCCGTTGGCTTGGGATGCAAAGGAGAAGGATCGGTTGCCGGTAGGGGACGAGGGCTCCGACATGATATCTCGGCCAAGCCCGCTGGCCTTGAGCTTCATGACAGTGAGCTTCTCAGGCGTCATGTCGTTTTCGACTGCGAACATGTCGGTCATGGTGGCTATGAAATGCAATAAAAGATGAAATGGAAAAAAGTGGTTGAAGTTTAGGCAGTGGTAAACACGAGCAGCTGGCGATACTTATGCTATCTGTGGCGGGAGTCAAGGGGCGATGAATTAGCTGATTCGATAACTTTGGAGTGGCACATTGACACTTCCTACGGGAATAGCAAGCCTATCATCTGACACATGGGCTGCTCGAGGTTGACTGCAAGCAAAGAGCAACACGCATAGGTGACGCAATAAGCCCAGTGCATTTCGCGAAATAGAGCTGCCATCCCAGCTGAAGTTCGAATTGCCTTTCTTTTTCGAGGAAAGCACATGCAGCAGCTCGCAATGGCGCATCTAATGGAGGACTTGTCTAGCAAGATTGTCGGCGACTTGAGAAGTGGGGTAAGCCACGACGGTGATTTCAGCTCGTCATAAACAGCCAAAGACGACACTATGTCGGTGTTTTGAGGAGGGCGAGCGATTGCATGCAGAGTAAGCGGGCTGGGGTGACGCTTAGTAGGTCGGGCTGTTGAGATAGTGATGCCAAGTGCGGGTAGATCAATGGGGAGTGGACACGGCGATGCTGCACCCCGCTGATCAAATGCGGGCGAACCGGAAGAAGCCTACCACTGACCGAGCACCGCCAAGTGGTGGCTTGCTTTTTCCAGTTTCAATTGGCTTCTCGTGCTTTTCATGAGGCCTAAACGGGAACGAGCAGATGCAAGCGGATATGCCGTCAGCCCAGTTTGAGCAGACCGGGATCAACCCGCACCACTTCGGTGGAGCAACGCCAAAGCGACCAGTCAAAGACACGACGTCAGCTTGTAAAGTTACGCCCACGATCGCTCATATTACCCGGCAAATGGGCGTGCTTGTGAGAGTACTCTAAGTAGAGTAGGAGACGGTTGGGTTGCGGGTGACACCGCCTCGGGCCATGGGAGCCGATGTCACTGTTGGACGACACCAGTGTGCAACCGCCTTGGCAAGTGTGGGAGCAATAAAAGCGATGGGATGGGGTGGGGAGACGGTGGTATTTTGCGCTGGCAGCCAACTCATCTTCGAGGCAGAAGCAATGGACGGAGTGAAACTGTAATTTGCCTATTTCCCGCCCCTCACATGCTCCTAGTGAGACAAGGGTTTGGATAAAAGAAAACATTCAAATGCTTTTTCGCTGCAGTTGGCGTCAGGAACAAGGGGAAGCTTGTGTGGGTTCTATTGGCCGCAAGAGGTGCATTGTCTCAATGTGGTGCACGTGTTGAACTTTGTAACAATTCATGGTACGCACAAAGAAAATCTGAGCATGTGATTTGGGGTATGCTTGCCACGCGCATGGACTAGGAAGAAAGTAAGAGAATCGGTCGCAGTATCAGTGCCCGATTGCAAGGCTGCTTTCCTACACCTACGGAAAGAGGCGCGTTGTACATACATGCATGTAGATCGAGTGCTAGGTGGCAAGAGGCTAAATCCACCATCTAGCCAAGGTGGAAAGACATCACTGGGCTTTCCATGGGCTGATTTTGTTGACACTCTGTGGATCACAGTAATTGTCCGTCTTCAGCACCATTTGCATACCCCTCATCTGGTATATCAATTTCCTGTTGGGGAATAAGGATGCCATCTTCGTCCTCGTGGTTGGGTGGATCATCAAGGTCGCCATTTACCTCGGACTGCAAGTCTTGCTCTTGTTCCCTGCTCTGGTCTGAGATGGGTTCATCTTGCCCCAAGTCATCCGTCACGCCATCCGAGTACTGGTCGCCTAAACTGTTTTGTTGATGGCCGGATTCGGAGTCAGCACCTGCGTCTAGTGCAGCGTCTTCTGGACCCTGGTCCTCAGTGTCCACGTTCTCTTCATCGACGTTGTCCTCCACATTGTCCTCGACGTCAGCCTCAACCTCCATATCATGTGCCTGGTTTGCCTCCTCTTCTTGTACCTGCTTCTCAGACGTGGCGTCCGCATCAGCCTGCATGAGGTCATGCAAGAGCTGGTCGACTTGGACAATGTATTTGTCGGGGATCTGGCGTACAGTGTGACCACGCATCTTGCGGGGCGCCAAAGGTTTGGTAGGCTTTGTAGGCTTTGCGACTGGCACCTCAGCAGGTTTGCGACCTCTGGGCGCCTTCTTCTTCGCAAGAGCAGTAGCAGCAGAGGCTTGTGCTGCATTCTTGGGTGGTCGTCCTCGCCTGGCTGGCTGTGGGGCAGGCTCTCCTTTGGACACCTTGCTGGCTGGTGGAAGACGGGTACGCAACTTGGTAGTAGTTGTGATAGTGGTCGACTTGGACTGAGCGGCCTGGCATTTTCCTACACGAGCAGTGCCCGCGACACGCTTCAGGTTCAGGCCATCTACTTTGGGAGGACGACCACGTTTTCGCGGAGTTGGTTCTGCCATGTCGGCGACGGTTTCTACTTCGTCCTCGGTGCCTTTTTCTTTGGCCTTGTTGGGCGTCGCGGCCAGGGCAGCCGACTTGGACGCGTTTGGCTTGCGACCCCGACCGCGTTTTGTCGGCTCGGACGCGTCTGGGAGCACGGTGACATCTTCAGCCGTCACTTTGGACGGTCTACCGCGTTTCTTTGGAGGCTCGGCTGTAATTGGGGTTGATTCAACAGCGCCTGTCTGAGATTTGGCTGGGCGGCCTCTCTTCTTTGCAGGCGTCGCGACAGGAGTTTCCACTGCTGCTACCGCACTCTTGTCGCGCGCGTTCTTACTCTTAGGTGGCATGTTGGATGGTTTTGGCAGCGCTGATGATGCGCGTAGAGCAATTGAGGTTGGTAAAATGCAAATATAACTCTCGCAACTTAATCGCGCAATATAATTGGGGTGTTGATGTAAGGGATTGATTGTGGTAGGACAAAGGTGAAGTAGAGCACTCATCCATCTCTCCTACTAGCGTGCCTATTTGGGGACGCGCACTATAACTCTATTCACAACGCGACTGTGGCTTTGCTCTCTTGCCTGGACCATTCACAATTCCTCTTTGGATTGTTTTGGGTCAATCTAATCCATTGAATCCTTAATACCAAGACCATTTTGGACTATTCTGTCTTTCTCTGTCGACATCCAGGTCGAAAAGGAAAGCATCTACTATACGTCATATCGCCTCGAGTCTCCATATAGGGTCAATGTAGCGTAATCAATGCAGCAGGCAATCTCTGGATTTACTTTGGAAAAGTAGGCAATTCACTGGGACTGCAGGCGTGAATCCGCCCGATAAGTCTCTCTAAGCACGTGATAACTGTTACTCCCAAACTCCAACGTTGAGCCGCAACATCATCCCATCTGACATCCCATCCCTATCGGCAATATTCCACAACTTAAGTGAGTTCTGATGGCACTCCCACGCACCCGTCTCAAGCATCGAGCCAGATGAACCCGGAAGAGCACATAAACCCCGTGTTACAATCTGGCCATGATGCTCTCACTCTGGATACTCCGCTCAACTAGGACCATCGCGTGCGCTAGAAGTCCACATGTTCGGCCATTTAGTGGCTCCCAGTGGGAACTACTCTACCCCGGCACCCAGAAACACTCTTCGCTAACCTCACAACAGTCAAGCCACTTGATGTGCGTCTAAGCGAGCAAATTTGCGACACATCCCCGCTCTGCAGTCCCTGTCGCGAACAAAATCAACTCGCTCGGCGACTTCCAATTTCATGATAAAGACGTATGTTGAAAATGTCGTCATCAAATCACAACACTAGCATCGGTGGTTTAGTGGTAAAATTAGCCGTTGCCATCTCTCCCAGAGAACAGTTTCGGCTAGCCCCGGGTTCGGTAAGTCTCACATCCAGCACAGCATTCGAAGCTTGTGTCTAACATTCAATCAGATTCCCGGCCGATGCAATCATCACTCCCTTCTTTTTTATCTTTTTTTTTTATTTTTCTAGCTTTGACTGGTTCACAACGTGGGTGCGAATTGCTACTGTAGGTGTTTCATTGATTTCTTTTTATTTAAGCAGAGTTCCAGACTTAACACCCAGTTCACTCTGTTCACTGGGCTTTGACATCCTCTTATTATATCGCTTAAGCAAATGCGATATCCATGCTAAACCAATCAAGGATCAGCAGGGTGTTTTGTTCATAGTCTTAAGCTTTGTCTACTTTCATAGTCCCATCTACTGGACAATGTGTTACAGCCCTCTGTGCCTTGTTCTTTGCGGCTTTTCAAATGATCCTTTTCTCGAAAGCAAACATCGTATCAACCTCTCACCTCAAATCCGCTTCAGTAACACTTTCCACAGCCCGAGGATGCCGACTAATCTCCACGATCCTAAATCCAGCCTCGCACAGCAACCGCTCCCAATGCTCCTCCGTCCTCTCCATTCCACTCGTACAATTCATCAACTGCAAATCCAACGTCGTCATCAGACTCGTCGCCCCTTTCTTCGGAAGCATAACCTCATAGATCAAAAGCTTCGAGTACCCCGGCTTGAATGCAGCCTTGGCCTGCGAAAACATGCGCACACAGTCGGCGTCGGGCCAGTCATGCGGCACTGCATGGAAAAAGTATGCGCGGGCGTGGAGTTGGGGTTGCGGGGTGAAGAAGTCGTAGGCTTGCTTTACGATACGCGGGTCGAGATGCTCAATAGGCATAGCGACGACTTCAGGAGTATCTTGCACGATAAGCACGTCGGCGGGGAGATCGCCATGTCGTTCCAGAAGGTGTGATGTGTCGAGGCCGTGGGCACCGCCAATGTCAACAAATAAAGGCTTTCCCGACGATATATCGGCTCCGTGTATGATCTTGCGGGTATCGTATACGTCAGTCCATGACATCTTATGGTTTTGCAATGCTGTCATGAGGCCCATGAAACTGCTACCTTTGCCCTCTGGATCTGCCGCGCAGAGAGCGAAGAAATCTGTGCCGTTAGTCATGTCGCGATAGTTGTCGAGAGCCTGCAAGTCAATGGGCTCACGGTAGTTGTATTTTTTGAAGGAACCGGGGAAGATTGATTCCGGTGGGAATTGTGTGATCGGTGCTGAATGCGTCAGTAGGGAGGCTATTGATGAATCAAACATCGCTGTCAAGGCTCGGACATACCCGCATTGAGTGATCTGGTCAGTATGTGATTCCGTATCTCCAAGGGACAGTGAGTAAGGCGTTGGTTTCCAGGCATCAACATCCGTTTCTTCGAGCACATAGAGGGCAGCAAGATGCCTAAAAAATCTCCCTGCGTGTTTGCATTTCAGTATTTTGACCTACCTTATTTATCACTACTTATGCTCAGAAGTATAGACTTACGCAACAAGTTTGGCTCAATATGTTTGTTGGCCCACTTCAACAATTGCCCCAGGTCAACAGCCGCACCTGGCTTCTTCTTATCCGCCTTGGTCCATTTTTCCCAAATACCAAGATCAAGAGCAACCTGAATACCAGCGATAAGCACAGGTTTCTCTAGCGAAAGCCTCCAACCCTGCTCAAACGGCGTCTCGAGACGATTTAGCAAGCGTCGAGCAGCTTCTTTGGCTTCATACCGCTCTGCATCGTTGGCAAAGTGTGTGAGTTGAATAGAGTCCAAAGACTCTATGATATCCCTGGAATATTTTGGTACTCGCATGACGGAAAATATTCAACGTATAGATTTGATTCAGATGTGGTATGAAAATGGTAAGACAGAGTGATGGAAGTCGGCCATGATCCTCTGCACGAACCGCGCGGACGTATCAGTTGCTTGGGTTCAAAACATGCATGACTATCCGGGGCCCGCAGTTATCAGATAACCTAGTCATATCTAGTGTAAGATGTGTCGCTGGCAGAAGTCAATCCCTGGCAGCTGTGGAGAATTTGCAAGGGAAACATTCCTTAGCGTACGCGTATCTGGGCTGATGCATGACTCATTTAGCAGGGCCGCTTCTACAATACGTCTTGCAGATTTCGATACTTTGGAACCTTCCTTTCCCTGTCTCCGAATATTACGGTGAAGGGCAGCATTCGTAACCTGTCATGATGGCCCTAGCATTGCTTCCTGCTGTGACAACATCCATTTCAGACTATGGTCAAAATTTAGTTGTGATAGTGACAGGTACAAAGGCTAATTTGAGGGCAACTCGTGGTCATAGCCAGAGCAAGCAAGTGTATTTGAAAGACTGAAATCTGACATTCATCACTGTCGTCTTCAGCAATACTCTCGTCTTATCGTTCTAAGAGATACTTCAATTCATTCGCATAGGCCTTCCTTTTTTATTTTTCCCATGCGGAGAGTAGCGCAACTGCGAAGGGGATGAAACAGGCGATTCATCCGTGACCGAGTCAAAGGTACTCGCCCTACTACTCGTTTCGGTTTCCGTCATCGCCATTCCAATATTGGTCTTCTTTCTGGTACTGCTGAGTTCAGTAGAAGTCTGACTTGATGAGGATTCGCATGAGGACTCTTCCAGTTTCCAAGTCTTGGATCTGAAGAGACCATGAATAACTGGTGCGTTGACAGCGAAAATTGACACAACCTTGAAAAATACGTTAGTGGTTTTTGTAGACGAGCGCATGGAATCACTAGACTTACAGCCTCGCGTTGTGCCCATACTGAGGCAAGGGCCACTTGAACAGAAGTTCCGATTGAAAGGACACAGCGGGCAGTAGCCATACCCATGACGAAAAGATCCAGCGAAAGAAGAAATATTATTTTGATTTTACTACAATGGCAGATTAGTATAAGTGATTTTCACTACGGGCATGTTGCAACTGACCGCCAAACGCCAATCTTTGTATCTTTGAGCATCCACACAGGCACTACGAGCAGCATCGCGTCAACCCTATTGTTCTGTCAGTATTATTGAGTATCACGGTGTAACCGAATCCTACAAGACGTTTCCCACTGCGATAACAATGTTGATGACAACGCCGGCTGAGCATTCCTTGCCCGGATCAGGCAGAACTTGCCAGTTCTTTTCCAAAGGCAAACAGTGTGTAGTCTGTGTGACGACTGCCGATATGAAAGCGGCAACTGACAAACCCCCGACAACCTGCACGTATCGATACAAAAATCTGTCTTTCCTGATGAATAGGGTAAGTGGTGGTCACCTTTCACGGATTAGTACACTTACGTGAAATGTAGAAATAAAATAATTAGACAACCTTTGAGACTCCATACAAGGAAGATCAAAAAGTAAAAGGACGCAAACATGACCTTTGCACCTTCTCGCATCGACTTTCGCATTGCCGGTGGGAGAGATTCGCGCTGTTCCTGTGTCATCGCTATAGGAGCCTCATTTACACCTAAGCAATGTTGGTTCGTGATGTTGGCGTGAAGCTCCTGATGAGTATGTTAAACTTACTAAGGAATTCTACCATTGCATATATCAATGTGAAGAAAACCCAAGACGAGAATGCAAAGAAATCGTCCCAGTAGAAGCCTCGCCATCCCTGCGTTTTCCATCGTGCGAAGAATCGCAAGCCAATGATTGCACTACCCATAGCATATTCAACCCGACACTCGACGAGTATCGCATTAGGGTCTGACATGTTCGGGACGCGCTAAGAAGAGCAAAAATAGCGAACTGGGTGAGTTAGAGCGGTCTCATCTGCTCTTCGATTCTATGCAACGCCTCGTTTTGAATGTGCCTAGACGAATTCGGTGTGCCAACACTCAACGCTCCATTTGCTCAATGGGGACAAAAATAGCGGACGAAATCTTGGCAGAGGATTGTATATCGGGGATTGGGTGCACTGCTGGAGGGGAATGGATATCAGTTAAGGTTCCTGCCTATAGCCCGGCTGTAGCTGCGATAGACCCTTTGTCAACAAAAAGGGCGGTGACAGGGAGGGCTGCGACCTGCCCTTCTAATTAATGCTAAGAGTCCGCGACGTGTGTACATATAAATCAACGGGTAGACACTTGAAAGAAATCCACGCGAGCTCCGCTTATTCGATGAACGACTCGTTGTGGCGTGAGTGATAAAGAGGGATTGTGGAGCAGGAAGTACAGTAGAAGGGAAAGAATGTCGTGACAGGTTTTGTGGCGTCGCAACATGTGGGCACGGACATGGCCGAACCGCTGCGTTGGTCTTCGCCTGCAGCTTTGCAACATACGCCTATATGTACACGTATGTACTTGTGTATGCACAGGAGCGAAATCGATGTACAATGTACACGCATTGACATTACTAGGTCTGAGACTAGCATTACTGATGCTTAACCAGGTTTCAGCAGCTTTTCTAATGAATTGAACATCTAACTGGAAAGAAACTAAAATACATGTGTATGTACAGTGACTGTACTCTCCGCGGAGGCGGCTCAAATTCTTAGCAAGGATCTGAAATTGCCGCTACCGTTGCTCAATGGGGTATGCTTCTTGCATATATTGTCGAACTAAAAGCCCGCTCTTCCGGGTGTAGCCCCTCGAGTCAGGTGTTCCAGCGTTGTGGGGAGAGTAAAATCCCCGACTGCTATCGGCTTTTCAAGAAAGCGATCGTCGCGAAGGATCCAGTGTGTGTTTCGACACTGCACCCTGGCTCTTGTAGCGGCAGTTGATACCCAACAAGCAAAGTGTCGGAAATTATAATGCCCTATTGTTGGGGGCAGGAGCTTGACCGAAGCCCAGGATTGCTGCATGACCTCGGAGACATACTGATTCGTCTTAGTTGACATCACCTACAGATAACACGAACATCCTACTGCCTGTCCACGCCATATGATCCGACTCGAAAACACACGCTTTCAAGCTCGCACTTGAGCTCCACGTGTATCGCCCAACCCTTTGCATCGCCTAGCCGCCTCAGGTTGTTCAAGATAGTAACGTACTCGCGAGAGTCTGCAGGAGTGTCCAAGCCAACTTCCAACACCAATCTGTTCAGCTTCAAGTGCAGATACTGTGTCTCAAGCGCCAACGCATGGCACGACGACATGAGTCCGAAGCCGATGTCATGAAGCGGGAAACGCATTTCCGATACGTTGTAGGTGAGTGACGAGGTAGGCGAAGTCAGAGCGTAAGAGTAGATGAGATTGCGGATTTCTCCCGGAAGACGAAGCAGGAACGGGATTTCCGTGGACGATGTGATAGATGGTGTAGAAGCGGCGCTGGATTCGACGGAACCGAGGAGCTTGATATGATGCTTTTTGGCCTTTGGTCGAGATTTGCCTATCTTTGTGGAGTTCTGGAAAGAGGGCCCGCGTCGGTGAGAGGAGTCGCAAGCGCCTTGAGGGCATGACGCTTCATCAGAAATATATCGCTGTGTTGATGGAAGAGACCGAAGAGACTGAAGAGACATATTTGCTATGACTGATGTACTGCGGGTGTTACTTGATACGGCTGATGCACTGGGGTGCTTGATGATGGTGGTGGGGCTGGGGGGTGAGAGGACTCAATAAGTATTCACTGGTGTAGAGGAAAGCCAAGGTTCACTTGAGGCAGACGTTTCCCATCATCTTAGAAATAGGGAAACATGTATTGTATTAAGCATTGTTGATATTGGACGGTGAATGGTGAGGGTATCTCGCTACCAAGTAGTATTGGGCCACATTCACAGTTGCTATTGTCACGCCTGCAAACTCCGAAGTCAGCAAAACCACAGTATGGTACTCAAAGCGATGCTCACTAATATCTGGAATGCCCTGCTCTTGTGACGCGCGCTATGCATATTGTAGCCGCACGCGGAGAGGTAAAAGTCCAACCCAAATCACAAAAAAAAGCATGTCACAAAACCACCGTACTCTTCTGTCCCGGCAGCATATTCTCCTCGAATTCAATTTTTTTGATGTGCTGCCCCGGGACAACAATCAGTCCAACAAAACGGCTGTTCCAGGCCACAGATGCAGATTGGTTACCCGACTCTTCAACAGCCTTGCGGATAGCCTCTGCCGAAGGAGCACGGTACTCATGTGCCAGCGCGAGAATGATGTTGCGATCCTGATGGATGTTAAAAGCCGCTGTGATACACAGGCATAGCCAATATCAGCTACCCCACCTTATCCGTGCATTTCATCTGACCCCCAAAGACGCGGCCGTCACTCGCGTGTATGCGTAGGTTCTTTCCAATGAACTGGCTCAGCCAAAAGGTGGCTTGCTCGTTGTCCATCTCGGGCGTCTTTTTGGCTCGTGAGGAGAACCAGCTGTAGCGGTTTCTCCTCTTTGCCGCCAACATGGTCGCTCTCTGGGAAAAGAGGGGGCCCAATGTGGCTGTGTAGATCGCCTGAGGCTGGAGGGAGTGGCTTGAGGCGGATGGAGAGTGGGAACACATCGGCGAGGACTCTTGGCGTCTTGGCGTGTTTGACGCGTTTGCCGATGATTTTTGGAACTGTGATGAGCGCATGCGACGGCCGCAGTTCTCGCCCACGACAAGATGCAGTCAATACGGCGGAGCTGCCAATTGGCACTCCAGAACCCGCGATATGCCTGTATATACGCCAATGGCTCTAGGAGGGCCTTCTCACAGAGTTCGGCCCACTCAAGAGGTCCGTATCCTCTTCCTCCTCAACCAGCACTGTTCGCCCAGAGATTGACTTGATGCAGGCGCTCTCCCAAACTTCCTCCCGCCCTCTTCTCCTGAGCTTTCCACACTCCTCTCGACTTTCAATTCAAAAGTTCTGCTCCCATATCATCTGACAAAAGAGCAACAAAAACTCGTTTACTCGGAAGAGTCCCGACCCAAACTCGAAGCCGAGCCTGTGGAAATTACCCTGGGAGATGTCACTCTTCCTCTAGAGCACCTGGACCGTAACAAGCTACCCGATCGCTGGCAGACACTCCGTAGAGTGGTGGAGAAGAGCGAAACACAGGAAGACTGGGAAAATGTACTTCGATGCCTCGAGGGATTCGTGGAAGCGGGAATCAGGGCCAAGGCCCAATGGCAGGAAATGATCATCAGGAAACTGGCTCTCGCCGATATGCACCACCTGATATTGAAGGCGCTGCAGAGGCCAAAGGCAACAGAGATCCGTCTGAGCAACCGGGGTGTGCTGACGCAAGTCTTGAGAGGTGTGCACAGTAGGGCTGCAATAGTCGACTGGGACCAGGAAGAGACGACAAAAGCACTCAAGATGGCAAAGCAGGTTGTGGAGCTAATGGAACATAAGGATCATTGCGGCAATAAACCTGCGACTATGACAGAGAAGGATGGCGACTGGAGGGGGCACCCTGTCGTCATTGCGCTACCCACTGAACTGGCTGCTGTCGTTGCTGAAAAGTACCGTGGGGATAAAGAGGAAGTCAAAAGGCTAGCAACCCGCTTGGTTGCTGCAATCAAACAGACTGATTTCGTTGTAAGTCTTCCTCTTCTGCTGACTGTCTAAACATTTCCTAATCAATATTTCTTCACAGACATCGCTCAATGGTCTCTTGGAAAATTCGTCCAAAAGCTCTGCCGACTTCTCGGATGTCAAATCGCACCTCGAATTCGTCACCAAACATTGCCATGATTTGTTCGAACTTGTCATTGTTTGGAATGCGCTCAAGACGTCTCGCAAGGTACTCGGGGGTGACATGCCCATGGCGAATGATGCGCAGCAATTCGAGACAAAGGTTGATCAAGTCTTGAAGCAATCATTAGATAAGCTCGACACTCTTGCATCATGCAATGGAACAGTGCTAAAGACACAGTACCTAGACATGGTAAAGGAGGCGGTTCAGGAGTGCAGTTAGGGTGTGAGACTGTAAAATGTAGTATCATATTGTAAAAATAAAAAAAATCAGGGCTACCATGTGAATATTCAAGTACGATATATATCCACGCAGTGGAAAGAGAGCTGACGTCGGCCGATCATCAATTGGCGAAACTCTTAAACTGGTTTCAGAAAGTGAAGCTTTCATCTACATCCAAACCTTCGCACTCCTCAATTCAATGCAATGAGAAAGAAGAAATGGATAATTCTTGGTTTTTTGAGCGATGACATCGTGACCAATTCTACCACAACAACACAACCCCCAATCTAAGACGTAAAATCCCACCTTCTGCCCCTCGACCTAACCACCCTCTTATCCCCCTTATACTTGAACACCCTTATCTTGCGCCTCCCCTTTTCCATACTCTTCCGCAACCCAGCCCTAACTCCCCTCCTATCCACAAAAAACTCGTCGTCAGGCCCAACCTCCACCGCACGCTCCAGCCGCTCCAACTCGTCAATCTGGCCAAAGATCGGGTGCCTGGGCAGCATGAACACATCTTCGATTAGCAGCCCGACGAATTCGTTCCAGGTATCTAGCACCATGGGCCGCGCGTTCATGCGTGCATGTGCATGTAGTCGCAAAGCGTCGCCGTAGAGACCGAGCAGCTTGTCGAGCACGGTAGTGTTTGAAGAGAGTATGCAGCGGAGCTGTGTCTGAAGGTGCTGATGGTTTCGGGGTCCGTGGAGGTCTAGGCGCAGGGTGGGTAGCTGGCACTGGATTTCGTGCAGGACGAGCGAGCAGAAGCAACGGTTGGGGAAGGCATCGGCGTAGTCGGACAGGAGGATGGCGTTGATGAGCGTGGGATGGAGGATCTTTTCCAGGTCTGTGAGAGGCGGCATGATGTACGGAGCGGGGTGTCTGCCGACATGTTTGGGAGAAAGATCAGGGGGACCCGTGGCATGCGCGGATTCATCCTCAATTGTACTTTTGAGCTTGATTGTGGTGGGTAGGAGAATTCTATGGCGGGTGTAATCGAGCGGTTGGCTTTTGCGTCTTCTAAGAGCGAGTCGAAGTGGAGTTGGTGAAGGAGTTTTGGAATCTGGGGATGAATTCAACTGTATACGAGCAAAATCCCGTATAATGATATCAGAGGGAAGCCATGTTGACCGCGAAGGAAGATCACCTGCTGCTCCTTTTGCATCGCATTCGGAAAAAGCTCGTAGCCTTTTGGGTAGCGATTGAAAGGGATCAATTTTAGAATGATCGAAAAGTGTTTGCGGAGATGGGCGCCCCAAAGCATCATTGATGACAGAAGATGTCGGCCGAGTCTCAGAGACAGCATGCACCGCGCCAATAGCAGGTACATCACACGACGTCTCTAGGGAATGCCGCATTGAGGCATCCGCTTTGGGATCGATAGTGCGAGAGTCGTGTATATCTTTGTCATCCCATAACATCTCCAACGATTGCAGCAACCCAAGCTGCGCCTTTGTATCCATAATAACAACGGAAGATGATGATAGTGGAATAATGGTATTCTATGCTAAGATAACGGTAGCAGATTAGCACTGGATGTAAGTTTCCGGCTGACAGACATCCAAAAAGAGAAGAGTGATTGGCTTGCGATAGAAACGAGATTGGCGATAGACATGGGACAAGAAATATGGAGCTTGAAGCCATCGGGGTGCTGCGCTGCGTGTCCTCATTCTGTCCATTGATTTGTCGCTGCCTCATTTGCATCCACGGTTCTCTAAGACGCTACCTTTGTTGCTACCCTTGTAGAAATCGCTACCCCGAACGCATGTTCTTTCCCCAAACCCCTATCCTGGAAGGCTACGGCGAAGCCTACATTTCTTTTCCAAGAAGCAAGAAGCTGATACGCGACAAGAGAACCAAGTGTGATACCATCAAAGCAATAGTGAAAGCGATGAATAGCAATCAATTGTAACTGCCATCCTTTCTCCTGCGGGAAGAATCATTTAGCAAAGCAACAGGTAGACACGTTGTTTGCGTATGATCGCAAGGACAATGCGATTCCGGTCATTCGGGAAAGGCAACAGCGGCTGAAGGTCGAGGAAAAGGCACAGAGCCTTGAACATCAGGGATTGCTCGTAAAATAGTCGTATTCGTACAATGGTATCATTCTTCAAAGCCCAACCACTCGCCAGCGTCGCTGTCGCCATCTTCCATTTCTTCATCCACAGTGCCGTTTTCTATTTCCTTGACGCCAAAGTCGATTGCAAGTGGCGTGCTATCCTTTTTGCCCACAGGTTGAGAAAGCAGATATTCGATGCGATAGATGTTATCATCAGCTAACCTGGCAAGTTCGGCTTGAATCCTTCTTACAGCCTTCTCAACGCTTCGCAGATCTGCTTCTAAACCGCCCTTGTGCTCTTTCATCCATCGACCGTGCTTGCTGAGAAGCGATTCTATCCATACCAAGTTGAATTCCAGATGTGGGGACTCGTCGGCCTGATGTGCGACGAACCGCAGCAGTCGACCAAGGTAGACAGAAGGTAGTTCTTTAACTACAAGCGGAATATTGGTGACAGGTGTGGCTTCATAAACGCGTCGGATCAGGTTGCGCTCATTCAATCGGAATGCCATTACTAGGGCTTTGAGGTAATCCTTTTGCGCCAAAGTATCGAGAGTGGTTGCTGGTGTAACACTAATGTCGAGGTCGAATGGATCAAACTGGAACGTATTATCTAGCGAATAGATGAGCAGGCCTTCGGTAGAGGCAGCACAGAAAGCGCGGCCGGTGGGCGAAAAGGCAACGTCTGGTACCCGCACTTCAGGCCGTGTTCGCCTTGCACCAATACCCTTTTGAGCGCCGGGGAGGGTGGTATCTCGGCGGTCTTCAAGATCCGATGCTTCGCCTTGGTTATCAATAAGGCCCTCTGGACCTGCTTCAGTGAGAAGTTTGCTATTCAAGAACTCTTGTGTACCATCCAAAGATAGATTGATGGATACAGTAAACTTCTTGAGCAAAGCACCTGACTGGACATCATACAAGCAGATATACTTGCTATTGCCGCCAGCCAAGACACAAGTGCCATCTGCACTGTATTTAACGGATGAAAAGGCTTTTGTGCCGGCGACGTTGGCTGCCGTTCGTCGGTCTGACATTTTACGGCCACCAGACACATCCCGTCGCGCATCGACGCCGCTCTCCTGTGCAGCATCGGAAACATTCCAAAAGGTCAGCTGGCCATCGAGGGTTGTGACGGCAATCTGCTTCGAGTCTGGACGGAAAGCCACGCAGAGGATATCAGCCATGAGCTGTAATGGCTCGCTGGTCTGAGTGCGTGCAAAAATGTTCCAAAGGCGCACAGTCCTGTCCCAGCTTCCACTCACTAACGTACCTGCATCCGGAGAGAAGGACAGAGATGATACAGGACCTTCGTGGCCTGATAGGCGATCGAGCAGCTGGCCAGTCTGAACCGACCAGATGTGAATGTCAAAGGAATCGATGAAACCTGCGCAAACAACCTCTCCACTGGGATCGACAGCGAGCGATGAAAAGGAAAGTCTGGAAGGTGCAGTGAATGTGCGGAAATTCCTATAGCGATGCAAGTCCCATGCGCGGACAGAACCGTCAAGACTGGCTGTAAACAGGACATTGCCTTTTTTTGCAAACTCGCAGGCTGTCACGCCGCCCATGTGCTCTGTAAAGGTGACAACGCAGAAGCCCGAGTTGACGTCCCACACCTTGATCTTGCCGTCGTCTGCGGCAGTTATAATTCTTTGACCGTCTGGCGAATAGGCAATGGTATTCATCGAGTCAAAGTGACCTTGCTGCTTCAGGATGTATGATTCCGACTGCCATTCCCAGACGAGCAGCTGGCCCAGCTTTGATGCGCCAAAGGCGAGCCACTCTCCCGTCTTGTTGATGGCAACATAATCGATGTCGTTTTGCGATATGCTCAGACTGGAGATTTGGGCGAAGTCGGGCAGTTCGTGGATGAAGAAGATTCCGTGAGAAAAGCCGGTGACGAGCAGCTTGGACTCTGGGTGGAAGCTGGCGCATGTGACGTGGGCGTTGTTCTGGTGGAAAAAGTGGCGCTCTGCGATGCCCCACTGGAGGTTGTCGTCGTCATCTTCGTCGGCGTCGGCGGGCGCATCGTAGCGCAGCATGTACTTCCATGTGAAGAGGGCGCCGTCCTTGCTGACGGTGTAGATTGTTTCCTGGTCCTTTGAGAACCATGCGCCGGTGACCTCTTGGCGGTGGCCGCTCAGGGTGGTTTGCGCATGTCCCTCTTCCTGGTCAAGGCTCCATATGCGGGCCGTCATGTCCTTGGATGCGGAGAGGAAGAAGCGCGAGTCGCTCGACCATTCTATGCTCTGGACGGCATTGTAGTGACCAGTGTATACGCGGTGGCGCACAAAAGGCGCAAACTCGAGGTCACCCTCTGCGACATCTGGGGTAGAAGGTGTGTGCCATACTTGGATTTGGCGTCCGATGCCCACTGCGAAATGGCGACCCGAGGGCGAAAAGGCGAGGGAAGTCACTTCGCCGCCGAGAGAGAAGTGGTAGAGGACGATGCGGCGGGGGACATTGGTCAGGACTGCGCGGCCGTCCTGGTCGACGGAGAGAAGAAGATTTCCGCGGGGATTGAGTGCGAGGCGAACAATGTTCTTGCGATGGGCAAAGGGAAGCGTGTACGACTTTGAGCTGGGATGCGTGAGCGGGCTGGATGCGTGGGCAAATAAATATATGCGCCCACATACCTTACGAGGTCGAAGACAGTCACGCGATTGCCTACAGGCGAAAGCAGACAGGTGCCATCTGGGGTGAAGAGAAGGTTGCCTCTGCTGTAGACAGTACCTAGCAAGTTGGAGAACTGGGATCGTGTTAGTCAGGTGATTGTGTTGAGTATTGTGCACACGTATACTGGACATACCTGGAAGTCAGTCTTCATGATCGCAATAGGGTACTGGACAGCGTGACCATGGCGTTGTCCGGTATGGTCTGAAATGTATTGTACTGCAATGCGCTGAATGCAACCGTCGTCGAGTAGTAGCAAGTCCAAGTCCAAGTCCAAGTCCACAACTTTTTTCCAGCGCTCGGATCTCCATGCAGACGCGCTAGTCAGGTGGATTCCCCGTCGCGGGCCCGTGCGCGCGTGCCTGCCGCCGACTGACCGACCGCCCGACTCTCGCAGAAAGGGGAGTCGGCCCAAATTGTCCACCACCACAAACAACGATCTCTCTCTTCTACACATAGCCCACACGCTTGCTCGTTGCTGGATCACGTTTGTGTATGTAAGCAACCCACCCATCCACTCCTCCTCACCATTATCATCGTGCTCCTACTTGCACGCAGTCATCTTGGATTCGCGCCAAAGCCTCGACTCGACTACTAACACGTCCCTGTAGACCCTTTCCCCGTACCCATCCCGCATCTTTCTCAGCAGCTCTCGACACCACAACACCATGGCCGAGTCCGCGTCCCCAATTGGCATTGCCAATGTACGTATCTCCATTCTCCAGCTATGCATGCTACATGCTAATCCTCTTGCCAGCTCCCCAACCAGAGGTACCGTCTGCCGTCTCAAATGGACACGGAGCCCCCAGTCTAACGTAGCACAGGCACAAGATTGTTGCCAAGCGTGGTGCTGCTTTCACCATCATGGTAAGCTATCAACCCCCTTTACCCGCCTCGCGGATCCCCCCATCTCACACCTCTAGGTTGCTGGAGAGTCTGGCCTCGGAAAGACGACCTTCATCAACACCCTCTTCTCCACCACCATCAAGAACTATGCCGACCACAAGCGACGACACCACAAGCAGATGGACAAGACGGTCGAGATTGAAATCACAAAGGCAGAGCTCGAGGAGAAATTCTTCAAGGGTAGGTTTCTCTTTCTGAATGCTTGTAATATACCCCTAGATACAATTGCTGATACTTTGCAGTCCGCCTCACTGTCATCGACACGCCTGGATTCGGTGACTACGTCAACAACCGCGACTCGTGGCAGCCCATCATCGAGTTCCTTGACGACCAGCACGAGTCGTACATGCTTCAGGAGCAACAACCACGCCGTACCGACAAGATTGACCTTCGTGTCCACGCCTGCCTCTACTTCATCCGCCCCACGGGCCACACTCTCAAGCCCCTTGACATTGAGGTCATGAAGAAGCTGTGCACACGCGTCAACCTGATCCCCGTTGTCGCAAAGGCCGACACATTGAGCCCCACGGATCTGGCCAAGTTCAAGATGAGGGTACGTGTGCTTTTTTTTCTTGTGCACCCCCTGGCAACGCATACTAACCGCTGCTAGGTACGCCAAGTGATTGATGCTCAGGGCATTAAGATCTACACTCCCCCACTAGAGGACGACGACGCTGCCGCCATGCAGCACGCCCGCAGCCTCATCGACGCCATGCCCTTCTCCGTCATTGGCTCCGAAAAGGACGTGCAGACCAACGACGGCCGCACTGTTAAGGGTCGACAATACGCCTGGGGTGTTGCCGAAGTCGAGAACGAGGAGCACTGCGACTTCAAGAAGCTGCGCGCGATCCTCATCCGAACCCACATGCTCGACCTGATCCACACGACCGAGGAGAACCACTACGAGGCCTACCGCGCCGGCCAGATGGAAACGAGGAAGTTTGGCGAGGCACGCCCGAGGAAGCTGGACAACCCCAAGTTCAAGGAAGAGGAGGAGGCGCTGCGCAAGCGCTTTACCGAGCAGGTCAAGGTGGAGGAGCAGCGCTTCAGGCAATGGGAGCAGAAGCTTATTGCCGAGCGCGACCGCCTCAACAAGGACCTCGAGGCCAGCCACGCAGAGATCAAGCGTCTGGAGGGCGAGGTGGATGCTCTGCAAGGCAGCATCAACCGCTCTCACGGCCGCCGCTAAGCCGCTCTGGCTGCAGCCTGTGTTGTAGTACAACGGGCTGGTGCGTGCGTGGTGCGTGGCGGTGTGGCAATGATTGTCGAGATTCTTCCTCCTTGCAAGATTCCCCTTCTGTTTCGAATTGTTTGGTTGTCATATGTGTGTAATGTCGCTCTGCGATGGGGGAAGGTTTTCGGCTATGGGCAAATGTGGCACTGGACCTGGGCTAAAACAGCATGTCATAGCTTCTACTTCGTTTTTTTTTCTCTGGTACAATGTGGTATTAATTCTTGCCCCACTGTCTTCTTCGTCTGTCTGCTTTTTTGGGTGATGAATGTTGTTGGCGGGGTATGGCTAGACCTTTAGTCCGCCAAAGACTCTGTCAAGCTCTTCGCCTTGCTTTGCTTTTTGCTCGGCCTGGGGATCCAAGTCCATGAGGTTTTGTTGTTGGGGCTCTTTTCCCTTGTCCTCATCTATACCTTCTGGCTTGAGGATATGGACTCCGCTGTCCAGCCAGCCCGGCGCTACTCTTCTCTTCTCCGCCAAATCCTCTGCTCGTCGCCTGTCCTCCCACTGTGCCAGTGTCCTCCGCGCATCGTCTTCGAGCTGCTTCAAATGCGCCTGTAGCGCTGTGCACGACGAGAGAATCTGGTCCGGAGACGCAGATGTGCCTGACGCAGACACGACGTATGCGCCCGTGGATTCTTCTTGTTGCTGATGATGTGAAGGTGATGACTCGTTCTGTTGTTGCTGTTGCTGTTGCTGCTGCGAGAGAACACTCGGCGGCAGGGTCGAGGGAAGCGACTTGTATGAGTAAGGGAGGGGTGTGGCCGTGGGCAGCGAGATGAATGGCGAGACGGTGAGGGGGACTTGGGCGAGGAGGGGGTGGGGGTCTACGTAGGTTGGTTATGTCAGCTTCTCTCACGCCATAGTGGTGGGAAGAGAGAACTTGCGTTCGTCATGCATATTAGTCGTCTTTGTTAGTGGACGTGTGTCTGTGTGTGAGTTTGTGCGACCGAGGGGAATGGATGTCAAGGCGTCAATGGCAGCAGGAGCGGAGAAGATCGGGAATCATGGGGCGGTTTGGGGTGTGGGGAATAGTAGTAAGACCCAACCAAACCCGAGGAATGCAAGGTACCATCAACAAGCCTAGACCAAGGCCAACTACCGCTCCTCAGGTTTTTGCGGGGTGCATACAAGACATGCGCCACCGTTGGATTTCTGATTTCTGATCGTCCAACCGTGCAACGGGAAGAGATGGTTGTCTTGTTGGAGTGTAACACAGGCTGATTACCGGCAAATATCCAAAGTGGCGACTTGCATCGCTATTCGAGACACTCGACCATGTGCTTTCTCCGCTTTTCGACTCGCATTGCACGCAATGTCGCTTACACCATTCGCATACCACCGCCACCATGCTTCATATCGTTCATACTATTGAGGATAATGACGCTGACATTCGCGCAAGGTTTCGCCAAACATGCCCAGGTTACACCACGCAGGTTTGCCGATCGAAGTCGAAAGGCTAGAGCGCGGATTTGTTGTACTTCCATGTGCCTCGATGTATCCCGGCCAGTAGTATATGTTCAATGTATACGCATGTAGTACAAACCTGCAGCAATAAACCCACCCTCCCGCAACCATTCTCACACTCTTGACTCTCGGACAGCTTACACCCACCACTCTGACAGACGGAGAATCGCTGGCACCCGAGATAAGTATGACGCGGTCAGGCACAGACACCGGTCTTGTGTGTCTCAGCGTGCCGTGCCGAGCGGATGCCGTCACTCAGCAGTTACAGTCAGACAGTCCTAGGCTTAAGATTAGGTTGCGGAGCGCGTAACGAGGCTGGGTTGCGCGGGTGCGGCTGAGACAAGACGTGCCCATAGCATGCGGGAAAGAAGGCGTCTAAGTATCTAGATATCTATACATGTGTAACACATGTAACTATATACTAAACCGCCACACGCTAGTAGAGTGGATAGTCTCCATCGCGCTTACGTAGGTGTATTCCACGAACTCCCAAGCATTTCTAGACGACATTGTGAAACACCTTGGTCGCCCCATCCCACCCGCTGCTGGTCTTAAAACATGAAACTTGTTTACATGGCGGGACCCAGCAGTGCCCCCCATCGCGCCCCCAGTAGTTGTCGTCGATTGTGTGATGTGCGTGCGGTGATTAGCTGTCTTGGATCACCAGCCCTTTTGAGCAGCACAAGAGTCCTTGGCCTTCTACGCCTCCGCCATGCATTCTAGCGAAGACTTGCACTGACTAGTGCACGTTGCTTGGCCCAATTATGTACCGCATGCACAGAAGTAAGGGCGAATTCGGCAAATTACGCTGTAGTTCCTCCGTGTCTGACGTGGACTTTCACCAGATGGTGCTCCATTCGTACTCAACTACTATATGTCTCTATACATGCTGTCATGCTAAACTGCTCACTAAACGGAACACGGCACCGTTGCGCAAGCGGAAGGATGGGTACCGAACTCGGAATTATTTCTCATCATGACAAAGCCGCAAAAGCAATGGGTACATGCTCCGTCTGTCAATATATCAGCCCTCCGCAACAACATGGTGTCGGGCGTTACTGCACGTGTCCTGTATCAGTAGCACGTGTATGGCCAGATAAGTACATGCAGGCGCGAGGAGCCGACAATTAGATGAATAAATGGCCGTCTTAATTGCAGGGCAATGGAAGGCCCGAGGCGGCGTGGTGAGTGACGCGAGGCGAGGCGACAGCAGACACAATATAATAGATTGGTAGTGAGCAGCAGTGTGGAGAGACCGAGTCGCCTGGTAGCGCCGCAAAGTCGACGACACTGCCACTGGCCTTGGGGCGAGTCACCGGAACTGGCTTCAGGGAGCCGTTAGCAAAAAGGACGTGCGAATGCGGTCGAAGAGAGGGCTTGGGTGCATGGGTGAGAGTGGGATTGTGTGATGAAAGGATGAGTTCCAAGAGTTGTTTCCAGCCGCTTAAACGGCGCTAGGCCGGTTGGGGCAAGCCTCTTGGATCCCAAACGGGCTATAGCAGCGTCGCCAACGGCAAATGAGCTGGATTCTCGGCTTTAAGGCAATCTACATCAATCAACTCCCCCATGTCGCCCTTATTGCAGCATATTAACCACCTGCCCTAGCCCTTGGCGAGGTCACGTTGACCACCTCCGCGCCCAATCGCACCGCGTCTCATGCTAATCCAACCTGCTCGCGAGACCCACCGTTCTCGAATCCCATCTTCTGTGCCTGGCTCAAGGGGCCTGTTCTGCCGCCTCCAGATGCAACTCCCCAGGTAGTGGCTTGGCCCTATTGGCGTCCACCCTACCTTCTATGCATTCGATAGAAGCGTCTAGGGGGGGTGTGATGGTGGCAGCTTCAAAATGTATATAACCACCATGGCACCCTGGCATGGTCCTCCAGCACGCCAGCTTTCCCCTCCGCTCATTTATCCCCCCTCAACATGAAGGGCTCTTCTTTTGCAAAGGCAGCTGCGCTGCTTTCTTCTCCTTTCGCCTCTCTGGCATACGCTCAGGAGACTTTTACCCATGCTGCCACCGGCATCACCTTTTGGCGCCAAGTGGTCAACAGCGCTGAGACTGCTGGTGGCCTCGAATGGGGAATGGCCCTCCCCGAAGCCGCGACTGGCAACAACTTGGACTACATTGGTTACATTGTAAGTCTACCAAAAATACATACACATATTATCTGCCTAGTTTTGCCGTTTCTAACACCCTGCTCCAGAAAGGGTCCCTCACCTCCGGCCAGGGTTGGTCCGGTTTGAGTCACCGTGGCGGTATGCCCGATGCTCTTCTTCTCGTGGCCTGGCCCGACAAAGATGCTGTCAAGGCTGGCTTCTACCATGCAGCGTCAGTCTAGTTCCAACATGGTTGTCAACCCTTCCCACTAACCAAGTACAGTGGTTACACAGCTCCCGTCGACTACACTGGCAATGCCACTCTGAGCACAATTTACCAAAAGGTCTCTGACACCAACTTTGAGTACATTTATCTGTGCAAAAGCTGTTGGGCCTGGAACCAAGGAGGTGCCGAAGGCTCTCAACTTCCAACTGGCGAGGTGCAGGTCATTGGATGGGCTCAGCACGATAAGGTCTACTCCGGCACTTGGGTCCAGCACAACAAGGGCCAGGGTCTCTTTGGTGCTCAAGTTGCCCCGGCCAGGAGCGCAAAATACCCTGACTGGGTCAAACTGGCCAACCCCCCCGCTGGCTCACCTACACCCTCACAACCTGGTGCCACCCCTACACCAACTGCAGCATGCCAGGGTTCTCCCGCTCCCAGCGGTTCCTACGACTACATCGTCATCGGCGGTGGTGCTGGAGGTATCCCTGTGGCTGACAAGCTTTCCGAGTCTGGCAAGAGTGTTCTCCTGCTCGAGAAGGGCCCGCCATCTCTTGCTCGCTTTGGTGGAAAGATGGGTCCTGACTGGGCTCTCAGCAACAACCTCACCCGCTTCGACATCCCCGGTCTCTGCAACCAGATTTGGGTCGACTCTGCTGGTGTAGCCTGTACCGATATTGACCAGATGGCTGGCTGCGTCCTTGGTGGCGGTGCTGCTGTCAATGCTGCGCTTTGGTGGAAGCCAGTTGATATCGACTTCGACTACCAATTCCCTGCTGGCTGGAAATCATCCGATGTCAAGCCCGCCATCGACCGCGTCTTCCAGCGCATCCCTGGAACAGACACTCCTTCGGTCGACGGCAAGCGTTACAAGCAAGAAGGCTTCAACCTTCTCTCCAGTGCCCTTGGTGCTGATGGCTGGAAGAGCGTTACTGCAAACAGCCAGCAGAACCAGAAGAACAGGACTTATTCTCACGCTCCCTTCATGTACGAGAACGGACAGCGTCAGGGTCCTCTCGGCACTTACATGGTTTCTGCGCTCAAGAGGTCAAACTTCAAGCTCTGGACAAACACCATGGCTCGCCGTGTCATTCGCAACGGCGGAGTTGCTACTGGTGTTGAACTCGAGAGTGGCGTTGGTGGCACCGGATACTGCGGTACTGTCAACTTGAACCCGGGTGGCCGTGTCATTCTTTCCGCTGGTTCTTTTGGAAGCACTAAGCTTCTCTTCCGCAGTGGTATTGGACCAAAGGACCAGCTCAGTGTTGTCAAGGGCAGCGCTCGCGACGGCGCTACTATGATCCAGGAGTCTGACTGGATCAACCTTCCTGTCGGACAGAACCTGAACGACCACGTCAACACCGATCTCGTCATCAAGCACCCCAACATTTCCAACTACAACTTCTACGAGGCGTGGAACACCCCTATCGAGGCTGACAAGAACCTGTACTTGAGCAAGCGCTCAGGCATCCTCGCTACCTCCGCCCCCAACATTGGTCCTGTTGCTTGGGAAATGATCAGGGGATCTGACGGAATCGACCGATCCATCCAGTGGACTGCTCGTGTTGAGGGTCCAGGAGCTAATGACACCAACCACCTCACCATCTCTCAGTACCTCGGTCACGGTTCTACCTCTCGAGGTGCTCTGTCCATCAACGGTGCTCTCAACGTGGTTGTCAGCAAGTCACCATACTTGAACAACCAGGCTGATACCGATGTCGTCATTGCGGGAATCAAGAGCATGATCAAGGCCATCAAGAAGAACCCCCAGATTGAGTTCCAGGTTCCCAATGTTAACCAGACGGTCGAGGAATACGTCGCTAGCCTGCCAAAGACCCCATCTGCGCGTCGCGCCAATCACTGGATTGGTACCGCTAAGCTTGGAACTGACAGTGGACTTACTGGCGGAACCTCGGTTGTTGACTTGAACGCTCAAGTCTATGGAACAAAGAACATTCACGTCGTCGATGCTTCCATCTTCCCTGGGTGAGTCCCCATACACTTCACTTTTTTGATCCAAAAACTAACCTGATGCAGTCAAATCTTCACCAACCCTACTTCTTACATCATCACCGCCGCAGAGCACGCAGCCGCCAAGATCATTGCTCTTGGTCCTAGCACTGGAGGTGGATCGTCTGTTTCATCCAAGCCAGTCAGCTCTGCTCCCGCTTCATCCAAGCCAGCCAGTTCTGCTCCCGCTTCTTCCGCCAAGCCAACCAGCGCTACTCCCACCAAGTCATCGGCCCAGGCTACCCCAACCGCCGTAGCGAGTGCCTGGCAACAGTAAGTGACTCCACTGTCTTTGGATATCAAATATAAACTTACACGGCAATAGATGCGGTGGCCAAGGTTGGACCGGCCCTACAGCTTGTGTCAGCGGATACAAGTGCTCCTTCAACAACACTTACTACTCTCAATGCATCCCCGCATAAGAGATCTCTAGTCATACCCTAGCATGAGAATTGCAGGGACGTCGTATATATGGGGCTTCATCTCTTTTTGTATATATCTTCATTTCTCTGTAATTGAATCGTTCAGACCGTTGCCATTTATATGCCGAATTCTTGCTCTCAAGTGATATTTCAGACTTGGCAATGCGTCCAAGAATAGAACAAACTGCGCAGTGTGCTCACGTGATTAACACGCCCTTAGCGTGAAACCCATGACATGACCGACCTCAGCACTCCCCCGCATGCTCATCCTCTCTTTCATCGCCATCACCTGTGTCATTGCTCACTCTCTGTTGCACTGTTTCTCCATAGTCCCAAATCATCCCAAATCCCTAAATCCCCCAAACAAAACACAAATGCCATCAAATTGCCCCGCAACCTCTTCTGCTGCCAAGCGTGACAACGACGCGTGGATCAATGCTACAGAGCTATTCCATCACCGCCTGCAGTCGAGCCCCAAGGAAGATTGGGACCGCTTAAAACTATGCTGGGGCTACATGGACTGCGGTGATTGCCACAGGAGTAAAGGTCATTGCGGGTGGTGCGCTATTGTACGTTTTTTTCCATCGTCTCTATCATTACCCGTGGATATATTCCGCCAGAAATGAACCTTGTTTTTTTTGTGAAAGAGAAAAAAATTAAATTATGGTTTAATCGGATTGACGAAGACTGATGCGGTGACAATAGTCTTCAACGTGTCTTCCCCTCCCGCTGGACGGTTTCTCGAGGGCTTTTCCGCTTTTGTCACCTATTCGCCACCATTCTATCTGCGCGCTGGGATCCGAGCGGTTTGAATTGCGGACTGCGGGGTTGGGATGTCAGGTTTCTACTATCACTTTTTTGACGTCCCTCGTTACGATTTTTTGTACGTTGTTTGGGGTGTTGGTGCTTTATGGGGTTTCCAAGTGCGTTGGCTGGGTGGTTGTGGGGACTAGGGCGAGGCGTGGTGGGTGGGTTGTCTATGAGGATGGGAGTAGTGGGTTATGGGTGAGGGAGAGGGAGGGGTGGGGGACGTTGTGGAGGAGGGTTGGTGGGAGGCAGAGGGAGGAGGATGTGCTGGAGGTGGATGAGGGCACGAGGCGACGGGGGTTCGTTTGGTGGGGTGCGGCAAGGGAGGAGAGGAGGCCGTTGCTCCGATGAAGGTTTATGAGGTATTGTATGTCTTATTGGAGCTTCTTGTATGTGTTGTAGCGCGGTACAAGATCGAGCTCAGAAGACCAAGGGTGAGCCTGCAATCAAGCCAGTAGAGTAAAGCTGAAACCTAATCGCTGCCAAACAATTGATTGAAGAAGGTATCTGTCGACTCCGAGCAGCGGTAGCACGCCGGAGGTATCTGCAAAAGCCACGATGGTGGCGCACTTTCACTCCAACTCGAATTCACGTTTGATGTTTACGTCACTAGACGCTCCCATGGCTGCCCTGTGCACTGTTCTTTTCTCTCTCACTGTGAAGTGGTCTGCAAACGCTCTCACCTCACCCAGCGTCCAGGCTTCTCCTAGTAGGATATAATCCTTCTACCGGTAGCGAGTATATCTCCCACCATACTTTCTTCCAAATTTCTTTTACAACTCATTATCAACTGCTCATCATCAACCGCCAGATATGGCCAAGAAGACCCCATCCAACCGTCCCACTACATCCCGAAGGGTCAACAAAACTACTCCTAGCGACACTCGTGTCACTGGTGCCGTAGAATCTCTCGTCGAGTCTCAGATCTTATGTGAGGACACGAGCTTCTCAGAGAACATCTCTCCATACCACTCTCGTGGGCGTCTGACGCCAACTTCACCATCAATCGTCGATCTCGAGAGCGACAGTGAGAGCGTTAAGAAGTGTGAGGACTTCAGGCCTTCCCTTCACAGCTTCAACCAACTTGCGGAGGCTTTCGCGTCCCCCTCATATTACGCGTCGTACATTGATAGGACTGCTATGGTCAAACAGTTGAAAGAGCGTATGTCTGAGATGAAGGAGAAGTATTGTGTCGCTTTCGATGCGTCTATGTCTGAGCTGGAGGAGAAGCTTGCTACAAATCCTGATCAGATTGGCCATTCTGACGAAGAATATCCTGATCTGGACGACGAATTGTCCAAGGACGAGGAGCAGGATACCGCGCAGGCGGAGCGTCATAAAGCGGAGCGAATCGCGGACGATGCTAAGGCCTCAACTATCTCCCGTCTTAAGAAGAATTCTATTCTTGAGGACACTTCGAAGCCTGTCAAGCAAACCCCGTCGGCTACTGCGAAGTCTTCGAACGCCAAAGTCGCCCCCATTGCGGATCCTGCAACCTTTCACGCCCCATCGCTCTCAGCCAAACACGATGAGACTCGGGGCACCAAACTGGCCAACGCACTCTTCAAGTTTTGTATAAACAGTCCAGAAGATTTCACTGCAAAGGAAGCATACAACGTCTTGCGCATGTGTGGTGGCGATGCAGATTGCGCCCTTATACTATACCAGCAGGCCGCCGATGATCCAAGTAAGCTCAAGCAGACGTTGAAGAGGTGGATGTCCTCGCATCCAGAGAACGACGACAGCGGAACAGCCCAACTTTGCAACGAAGCCAACGAGACTGGTATCAAGGAAGAGTACTGTGAGAGTGAGGCGTCTGATGACACTGCCCACTCGGATAAGGATCATCATGACGATGCAGACGACACATGGACAGACGATGTCTGGGGTACAAAGACTGCTATTCAGCATGTTAAGGACTGCTTGAACACATGGTGCAACGGTCGCTGCGTTGAGGAGCTTGCTCAAGAAGTAGATCCAACCACTGTTCGCCATGGCTCGACTAAGTTGGAGAAGGATGACAATACTGCTCAGTATATCGGTATTTGCTCGTGTGCATGGCCTAGAATTGGGTCTTGCCGGGTCTGTTCCGAGCTTTCCCGCCAGGATATCCACCAAGACGACTCCGACCCCAAGACCGCCTCCGCTTTCGGCCAGCAGGACGTCCCCGATGACACTACCAGTGCCTTCACAGGCAAGCTTTCAGAGCCAACCGATTATACCGTCAGCTACTGGGCCACCATCGAGCACGAAGGCCAAATGGTTCACATCCCGATCGACAGCAGCAATGTCACCGGCCCCGAGAAATCCATCATCGAAGGCGCCGCTGGTATGAACAAGGTCTGGAAGTGGGTTCAGGAGAAGGGTCTCATGGATATGGTCAGCCTCCAGGATGCATTCGACCTGGCCAAGGATATGCATGTTGAGTCTCCAACGGTTGTTGACAAGGCCTGCCAGACTGACGGCGAGGGAGATGATGACTCGGAGTGTGTTCCTTCGTCTTCTTCTTCTGGTTCCTCTGCCTCTGAGATCCCTTGGGGTGCGGTACCCGCGCCTCGTGATTGGGCGACTTCGAAGACCATCCTAGGCTATGCTAAATAGGTGGTTTCTTCCGATCTGTCTCTTCAAGTTGACTTGTAGCCAGTATGCGATGCATGGATGTACAGGCGAGGTATGGCTTCTTTTGCCATATGGGTTTCTTTCTTCAGCTCTAAGTGAGCGGCGGGCAAAGATCAAGCCCATCTATATCTGCGATTGATTTTCTTGCTTTCGAATACTCGAGTGCTTCTGAGATGCATGCACTGGTGGTTTACCTGGGAACGGAATTTTGCGGCACGAGACAATGGATTTTCATCTCAGTGCGGAATTTGTAGTTAGATATTCCGGATAGTGGAATACATATATGAAATCTTAAACTGATGTTTCATGATGTGAGGTCGTGTTGGTGATACTAAATCTGAACTTTTGTTTTGGCTCATATATACAAATCTACCACGTTTACACTGAAGCGTTCATTACCTTTGTATACCGCAGAGCCGCAGTCCTTGACCAAAACTTCTTGAAACCTGTGTCTTACGCTATTCTGTTTGCGCTCGGTTGTTTGACAACCGCGGAGATGTCATGCCACAGACATTGCAAGGATGGTCCAAACTAAATGATTCAAATTAAGTTTCGGTTATCGAACGCTTACATCTCCCGGACGGATACTCTATCCTCAAACTTTCACCTTGAGATTCAATCCCGTGATGCTCACTCTGCCCAAAACTAAAATAGAGCTACCCAGCAACACTGCTGTAGCTGCAAACATCTGTGCACTCAGGTAGCCTCCACCGTAATTCTGTATCAAGGCTCCTGCAATCGGAGGCCCGATAAAAGTACCCAAGCCCACAATAGCAAGGCCCTGACCATTCCTGGTACCTACTTTACTCATATCCTTCGTAAGAGTGGTCATGACTGCCGGGAAGATGCCCTGAAAGCCAGCGACGAAGAAGCCATAGCATACAGCCCAGGCATATAGCCCTTGCTCGCTCTTGACCAGCGGCCAAAAGAACAAGACGAGTGCCGAAACGAAACAAAACGGTATGAGGATATTGTATGGCCCCGTGTACTTGTCCGCAAACCAAGATGGCACCAGCCGACCGAGCACGCCAATGCCGTTGAGAACCAGCAAGACATTGATCGAAGTCTCGTACGGCAAACCCAGAATATCAACCGCAAAAGACGAGATGTAATAAAACGCAAAGTACTGGCCCAGCGCAATGAGAAACACACCCAGCAAAAAAACACTATACGGCAACTCGGCAAAAGCACTAAGCTCCAGCACCGGCCCCGACTTGCGCGGTGGCAGTCTAGGCTTCAAAAGACAACTGTACCCCGTCCCCACCGCCAACATCATAAACCCCATGACCCTCACCGTCCAGGGAAACCCAATCCGCGGGAGCAACTGCCTCGCCACGGTCGGATAAACCAGCCCGCCCGTTGCACTCCCCGACGCCATGATCGCGAGCGCCACACTCCTATTCCTAGCAAAATACGTACTCACAAGACTCAGCACGGGCGCAAATTGCATGCCATTTCCCAGCCCCGTCATCAGGCCCTGGGCCAGGAAAAACTGCCAGTACCTCGTGCACAAACTCGTCATGAACATGCCTAGCGCCGACACCAGCATCCCCGGGACCGCCGACCAGTAAAAGAAGCCTGCGTCGAAAAGGCGGCCCGTAAGCATGCCCAGGGCGAAGTGGCCGAGCATTTGGAAACTCCCGATCCACGAGACGGCCGAGGGTTCCAGGCCCAGGTGCAAAGTGTAGTGCTGTTGGAAGACGCCGAAGGTGGCGATCATGCCCCAGGTGTTGAAGACGACGAAGTGGCCGCATAGGGCTTGGGTCCAGGCTTTTGTGCCGCCGTCTGGGGGTGGGCCCGGGTCGATTATGTCGGCGTTGGAGCGGGCGGTGATGGTTTTGGCGAGGCCGAGGATGGTGTGTTTTGTGCGAGAGGCGTGGGAGGTGTGGGTTGGGGTTCTGGTTATGTTGGGTTCGGGTTCAGGTTGGGGGTGCGAGGGAGCTTTGATGGAGGTGTAGGCTGGTGCATTGTTGGGTTGGGTGGCAGGAGTATTAGTTAATTGCTCGGGGGTTGGAGCCAGGGCTTTCTCGATGTCATGATTTGGTGGCATTGTGGAAGCACAGTGAGCTGGTCATCAAATCCAGAGAGGGGAGGAAGTGAAGTTGAGGAAAACACCAATACGGAGCACGACTAGTAATATAGCATCGAGACGGTAAAGAGGAACCACAGTCACTCGGCGATTTATCCGACGGTGAGCCAAGTGGGTAGTTAGTTAGTGGAGCCTCCCCGCCCATCGGCCGCGGAAACTAGTCGAAATCCGATTGTGGAGGTTGGTGCTATTGGCATTGGTGGGGATAAAAAAAAAGGCGGTAGCCATGCGTTATGCTAAAACCCGGCTAGTTATACATTTTGCAATCTCTAAAAAAAGCCTACCTACTAACTTCTAGCATGAGTGCATCCTGAACTTGGGAATGTCCAAAACCTGTTTAGATTTGCACATCCTGAAGCTCCAATACTCTTCTTGCTACCTTGACCGGATGATTACTGGAGTCACAGCGTAATATAGAGTACTTGAAAAGCTGCATTCATAATGCGCGAGTCGTGCATTACGGGGCTTGGCACGCCCTACATGTTGAGACAACGCCCTCGATGGACTCTGTACTTTGGAAACATGACGCTTGAACTTTGCCACTATGCAGAACTCAGCGATCGGTATGACACCACCCGTCTCTATCTCGATTGGTCACCTACGAAACAGTCTGGAGTCTTTATTCTCAAGTTGGCCTTTTTTTCCGCCTGAGCATTCACTCGTCATATTCAGCATCTCAGTGGTATTAGTCATGTACCCGGTATATTTTACTGGATAAATATGAAAACCACACGCCAGCTGCCTAGCAGCCCTTTTGCAGTACGCCTACTCTAACATTGACTTTCAACATAGATACTATGCACATACTGTCCATGCTCTTCATAAACAAACCAATCAAGCCTTGGAGGCGTGCTCGTCAAACAGCTTCTTCTGCTTTTCCCACTCCTTCTTCATCTTCTTCAAACGTGCCTTGGGCACATCAGCGCCATCCTTGTCCTTTGTTGGCAAGCCCTCGTCGTCCCACGCACTGTATTCCTCCGTCTTGAACATATCCTTGGGGTTAATCTTGGCTTGTTCAGCAAGCTTGGCTTTTTTCTCCGCCTCTTCGCGCTCGCGCTTCAGCTTCGCTTCCGCTTTCTGGCGGGCGATTTCCTCTTTTTGAGAGCGTGCGGCTTGCAGTTCGGCATCAACAGGACGTACCATTGCAGGCGCGTTCTCGCGATCTTCAAGGTAAATGCCGAGGTCCCAGAGATGGGTGTCGCGCAGCTGGTCGCAAAGGTCTAGGTAGTCTTTTGCCGGAGCCTTCTTCTTGGCTAGGTTTTGCAGATTCTCCTGGAATGTGGATAGGACCTCTGCGTACGGGAGTGCTTCGATATCCTGCTTCTGTGTGGGGTTGTGTTGCGCAATGATGGATTGTAAAACCTCATCCGAGAGGTCGCCAGCGATGGCGTGTTGGCGTACGTCGTCGCGTTCCCGTGATACGGCGTATACATGCTCTTTGGCCGCCGAGGGAATGTCGATACCTGCCCAGCCAATGCCGCCGTCGTATGGGTCTGCTGAACCGTCCAGTCCGAATATGCGGACAATGCGAGTGATGTAGCGGGCGACATCGAACGACACAGAGTCGCTGAGACCAGCCTTGTCTGCAGAGTTGTAGTCTGTAATGAGTCCCGAAATTGCGCGCATGGCCGTGGGGGTATCAAAGGAGTCGGCCAGAGCGCTATGAACCTTTTGTTTGGCAGATTCGAACGACTTGAGAACTTTGTCATCTTCTGCGCCAGTCGAGGCGATGTTGGGGTTTACTTCCAGATCACGGACTTTGTAAAAAAAGTTGGTGACGTAGCTCTCCCATGACGATCCAGACTTGCGCATGTCTGGAGTAATTTCGACACCATCATGCCAGCCTCCAAGCAAGAAGATGACGCGCAGGCTGCGCGCATTCCAGTCGCCGCGACCCAAGGCCTCGCGAATGGTGGTAAAGTTCTTCAGGGACTTTGACATCTTAGAGCCAGATATTGACAAATGACCCATGTGAAGGAAGTAGTTCACCCATTGGGTTGGGCGCCCGTCTTGTGACCAGTACGCTTCTGACTGGGCCAGCTCATTGTCGTGATGCGGGAAGCAAAGGTCAATACCGCCGCTATGGATGTCCATCTGTTCGCCCAGGACTGCTGAGGCCATAACGGAGCACTCAATGTGCCATCCTGGTCGGCCAGGACCCCAGGGGCTTGGCCACGCCGGCTCACCAGGTTTACTTGACTTCCAGAGCGCAAAGTCTGATTCGTTTCGCTTTTCCGACGTCTTGACTGACGACAGTGCGCCTTCGCCATCGGCTTGCAGATTGGTGTCGCCTCTGTTCCACGGCTCTAGACGTGCATAGTGGTTGCCCTCTCTCTTTTCAAAAGCCTCAATGTCAAAGTAGACAGATCCATCAGAAGTGCTGTAAGCCATGCCATTCTTGATGATCTTTTCTACAAAAGAGACAATCTGGTCTCCGTACTCGGTTACTCGCGTGACTACATCTGGGTCTAGCACATTGAGAGCTCGCATGTCCTCGTTGAACCGAGCCTCGTACTTTTTGGTAAGAGTTGTGAAAACGGTGTGGTCACTGGCATCAATCGAAGAGCCGTAGAGGGAGTCGAGATAGGGCAGCAAGACATCTTCAGCGCCAGCATAGAATACTTCAATGTCTTCGGGTGTCGATTTTGACGGTGCTAGCAATGAAGTGACTGCAGTACCAGCTGTTCGAAGATGCATCTTGATTTTGGCTTCCTTGTCGCCTGCAGGGCCGACGCCATCGACTGACTTGCCTTGGATGACATTGGCGTACTTTTGAGCGGACTCTTCGTTGAAGTTGCCAATGGTCACGTCTTCGCTAAGAAGGGGGAGATTCTTCTTGACATATGCATCAAACGCCTTTATTGTCGTGTTGATGACCTCCTCTGTGATGGTT